AGATTTTAAGCTAGCCTGCCTTCCTTATGTATGCCTGAAATAGGTTGTGTTTCGTCAGGCTTTGACATGTTCCTTTCTTCTCAGTATTCTCGCTCGCATAGTACTCCACTTCTATGATAAGGCGACGAGGAGACAATAACTTTATCAATGCGATTAATAGTATTAGTGAAGCGGACATTACAAAATGATGAATGAGAATACATGTATCTAAAATGGTTGTTCCTAATCGATTTTCTTGAGACTATCATCAGGGAAAATCGTCTCACAATAAAGGCTATACGGAGAAACAAACTACTTATAGGTTATTGGATAGTGGGAAGTATACAAGGTGAGGTGTGAAAAAACTAAAGTGGGAGAGAAGACGAAAGAAATTAGAAGAAAAGATGTGAGAGTGTTCCCGACGGTGTGAGCTACTACATAAGGTGAGTGAAATGAAGGCGTGGAAGCAGGTGAATGTGATAGAGTGAGGAACTGTGAGGTGTAGGTGTATGCGAATGAATACGTGTGTGAATGCTAGGTGAAGAGTCTCAGTTTTGTGACATTTTCTTTCTGAATGCATAGATTAGGATTGTGTTTACGGATGAAAACAGCTTCTAATACCTTAAGTTCACGAAACCTACGAGCACGACACAAAACAGTGAAGCATGAATCATCATACACTGAGCGGCATTGGCTACTAGACAAGAGGTGTTTCTTAATGGCTGACCCTTTCGTTGTGGTCTCACTTGGCCAAACACAGGTACGGAGACCGGTAACAAGGAGCATGACTCGTGCGCTGGTAATGACATCTACAACCGGACATGGACTGGCAGCGAGCAGTAGCGTGGGATTGTCGTTGGGTGCAGAGGACGGGATGGAAGAGGAAGAGGATGAGGAAGGTGAGAGCAGTGATGAAGAGAGTGAGTTGGACAACCAAGATGAAGATGACCGGACTGAAGGTGAGACCATATCTTCGATATTCTAGTGCTGTCATTGTATCGTGTCACCCTACCTTGATTGCTATATTATTTCCTTTGTTCTCATTCCTTTGTTCTCATTTTGTTCTTTAGTACAACGGTGATTCCTGAAGAGTGTTGTACGAAAACTTGTTCGAATCATCTTTTTTTTTCCATTGCCCTTTTTCTTCTTACATGTATTTTTCCTTACCCTTTAGGTTGTTTCTTGCATCGTCTCCATCGCTTACATTGTTAATAAAGTAGTCCACATGTCGCTTCAGCTCGTCCTACTTATTGCCATATTAAAATTATTGTCTCCTCGTCGAATTTTTAAATCAATCAATCATCTTTTCCGCAACTGTTTGCAGAGGAGCGCCTTGGAGCAAGTTGGAGGAGACCATTGAAATGTCCGTGATGCTCCGCTTCAACAAGAAGCGCGGAAACATTACATAAAATCATCATGACAAGACTTAGTGTACTTCTCATGTGGCAGCACTGAGCATGCCGCTATGTCATGAATGCTGTGCAAAGGTTCACCAAAATAGGACAAGGACTCATTCCAACTGGCCACCTTCGCCGATGATACAACGGTCTACACCTGTATTGGGTCACCGGAACTGCTCCCAAACAGTAAGAAAAGCTTACAAGCCACCCTGGATGCGCTCCATGACTGGGACAAGAAGTGGCGGATCAGGTTTGAGCCCACAAAGTCACAGCTCATGACGATAGCCCATCAGCGGCACAGGTGATATCATGGACCTCACGTTTGGAGATCACACTGTGTCTGAGCTATCGGAGGTAAACCTCCTCGGCATCACATTTGACTCGGGCCTCTCCTTCAAGACCCACCTCCACAACACAGCACTCAAGGCGAATTCTCGCCTGGGCTTCCTGCGCAAAGCTGCTCGCGTACTCGATGGTGCTGGTAAACGAACCGTCTACAGAGGTTTTGTGAGGCCAGTCCTAGAGTATGCGCCATTGGTATGGATGGGAGCAGCTTCAAGCCATCTGCGCCTTCTCGATCGAGTGCAGAGACGCGCCCTCCACATTCTTGGCCCTGATGTCCTCCTCCAGAGTTTGGCAGCAAGGAGATAGGTCGCCGCCCTCAGCTATACGTATAAACTGATGTGTCTGGCAGGGCCACCGCAACTAACGTCGCTGGTCCCCCCACAGCTTCCTCCACGAACATGTCCTCGAACTCGGTCTGACCACTCGGTGCGCCACGAGTCTCAGCTACAGAACGTCCTCCCGGCTTCCTCTCCTGATTACGTGCGACGGTGCTTCCCCTACAGCATCATTGACGAGTGGAACAACTTTCCCCCAACTGTGCTGCAGTCTCCGCCACGCCTGACGTCCCTCCAGTCGTTTAAGGGCAAGGTGCATCAGGACCTACGACAAAGCCGCTGGTATTGGGCTACAGACTCGCTGTAACACCCCATATACCCACAATCAACTCCCTCCCGGATCCTCCTCACTTACATGTATCTATTTACATGTGTTTCGTAATCCTGTTCATGGTGCGCTGGATAGCGCTAACGCCGAGACCCTAGGTCGGCGTTGCTAGTCCCGCCTCACCGGCGCGGCACAGGCTCCCTGAGAGCCCCTACTACTTAGTACATTGTCTGTCTTTCTCCTTTGTTGTCTCGATCATTATTTTCTTTTGTCTTCTTCTTCTCCTCTCTTTGTTATGGTCTATCAGTAGGAGGTGCATTCTGTAAAAAGATAAATAAAAAAAGTCTGTTCGTTTTCCTAAACATGTTTCACGCTGTGAACATTATGCATTCATACATGTATGTACATGTACGTTCAAAGTACAATTGACTTTACCCAGGCAGTTGTGTTTTCCATTTCCGCTCCTTTATTGGTTGTTTTTGGCCATCATTATGCACAAGAACACGCTCATTTTGAGTTGCGATACTATTGCTTTTTCTGAAAATATGGATGCGATTTCAGCAACTTTCACTCGTTTTGGCATGGTTGCGAGAAGCATAAGTTGCGAAATATTTTGCCATCTTTGGGAAAGGGCTAGCTGGCTGACATGCCGCCCAATCAAGCCTCATGGCCTGATTCTGCAGAAGCTGAAGCAGGCCTTTCGCGATGGCGTCTTTGTCCGCTATGGTTGGACACCGCCAGTGGCGCCACATCTGCCTCAGCAGTGTACCTGTGGCATGGCATTCTCGCTACAACACGCCCGACAGGAGGTTATCCTGCAATTCGGCACAACGAGCTGCGAGACGTCACCCCTAGGCTCCTGGATGAGGTATACAACGTTGTAGTGGAGCCGGGTCTCCAGCCGTTATCTGGAGAGCGGTTTCGCCACCGCTCCGTAATCCGGGAGGACGGTGCTCGCCTTGATGTTGCGGCCAGCGGAGTGTGGGGTGGCCGGTTTGAGCGAACCTATTTTGATGTCCGGGTGTTCAACCCTTTGGCTAGCTCAAATCAGGCTCACTCCCTCTCCGCTACATATGCCAAGCATGAAGTTGAGAAGCGCCGACGCTACGGGGAGCGTGTGCGGGAGGTCGAACATGCAGTGTTTGTACCACCCGTATTCAGCGCCACTGGAGGGCAGGGAAAGGCCGCTAATGCACTTTACAAGCGCCTCGCCACAATGCTTTGCGAGAAGCGGAAGGAGCCGTATTCGATCATGATGGCTTATATCCGGTGTCGGCTTGGCTTTGCGCTGATTCGCTCCGCCATTGCGTGCCTCAGAGGTCACCGCGGTCGCCCTCACACGTACACTGTAGCATCAACGGGCTCCGCATCGCTGATGGTCTCCCGAATGCTGCTTGCCTGGCTACCGGACCTTGGACATCCTGCATGCCACATTCAATGATTCATGTAACCGTAGTAACTAGTTCTCCATATTCTTGTGACGTGCTCTTATTATTATTATTATTATTTTATTTATTTTACTAGGGTGTTTCCCACAGACCTATGGTCTTCAGTTGAGTCAGTTTGTAGCTATGCCGGTACGAGTATTTTTTTTTACAAGTTTATTTTATCTGAAAGGATTTTGTTGCGTTTTCAAAAACAAAAACAAATAATTTAATTGAGCGGGCTCGACGTGTCATCAAAGAGTAGTAAAATTACGATTGAGCGGGCTTTAAACTACCGGTAGTGGCGCATCTTTACACAAACATCTCAAACCGGGTATGCGATAATGTTTCTCAAACAACGAAAAAAAAATGGTCGTTAGACTTACATGTACATGTATTGTAGTGACTCGTTAGACTTTCGGGTTTTACAGTACTCGTAACGTTACTCGTGCTACCTGTGAGGACCTCGGGTAGGCGGGTACAGAATAGTACTCGAAAACACCAAGTACTTTTTCGCAGATGACAATAATTCATCATGTACAGTGCACGTGTACAAATTCATGTAATACTAGACTCTGCATGTTTGCCCAGTGTAAGGGAAGTGGTGCATTGTGGTGTTACCATGGAAACATTACCTGATCGGGTACCCGTGCTAGCCGTGGAAAACTACCCGAACTCGACACCCGAAAAAAAATGCTACCCGACTCAGCCCTACTTTTAACTCTGATAAGGCCCTTGGCGGGAACGTCACTGATTGGTTGTCTCCTGGACAGTGAGACAGACCCGTTCTAATACCCGTTCATCAGCATTTACACTCGGTGTCGAGATGTTCCAGATACATCATCGTACATACCGCCACACCACTAGCTCGTCTGGGACTCACAAACCAACTGTACCACACATTTTAGTACGCATGTCGCAGGAACGGGATGTAAATCTGGCTGCACACCCATTGGCATTGAATTTCTCGAGGAATAGGAGACAAGACTCAAGAGCACACTCCCTTTGAACCTTGTACATGTAGCTACCACCTAGGCTACAAAGGTGATGGATGCCCCAAGAAGAGAACAGCGTTGTTTCTTACATTTCTATTGGATCGGGTATGGATTTGCAGTACTGTTGACGTGCAAGCTTCCTTAGACAAGCCAGGCAGCGAGAGTTGGGGACTCCATAGGTGCAGTTGCGCCGCACATGAACACACACACACACACACACGCGCGCGCGCGCACACAGAACACACCGCCACAGGTTTATTATTCAGAAGGACCCCGCAAGCAGGCAACAACTAAAAGATCATACACGGCCCTGGCAGAAGTCCAGTGTGAGAACCAGAAAACTTCACCAGACAAACTGCCTGGATCTAACCCAAAAAAAGTGCTCTATTCTTCCATTCCAGATTCAGAGAACTGGAAAAGGAAAAGGATAAAAACCAAGACTTGGAAGAAGAGAGGAAAAAAGGACAAAATCGCCAGGTGATGCTGAGAAATGAGTAAAAACGATATTGTGAGTCGCAGAAGCGGTTCGCCCATAATTCAATTCAAAAGTGAAAACATTGGAAAAAAGATACACGCAAACCCATGAAAATGTACAGAACAGAATACGGAAGGAACTATGAATAAGTTACAAAATAAATTACAAAACTGCTGGCGTGCTCAAGCAGGATAAAAGCGGAAAACACGTGTTCATAAATACTACTACCTCAAACGGTGTCATAAAACATGGGTAAAGCATCAATGGCAGATTGAAAATTGAGAATCAAATGCACAGACACTGATCCTCTCACATGTCGCCATTGCAGTCACGAACAAGAACGTATGATAGTATACGCACACGAGGTGACTGGGAATAGAAACATGGTGCCTGATGGCAATGGAGGTCCTCGGCATAAAGCCTTGCTCACAGCCATGTGCACCATGAGGATTCATGGCGACGGGCAACACTCAACGGAACAGCTCAACAAGCAAAAAAACAAACAAAAGCATAACAACGTCTAAACAAGGGATCAAGCCAGAGTACACGTCACAAACAGACCATGCAGTGCCAGTCTTCAGGCACCGCGTGAATAGGCCAGCTCAATACGACAACCAAGTGGGCCCTCACCTACAACGAAGTGGTGGGGGTGTTTCGAAAAGAACTTCTTCCTGATGGATAGCTTCTTGTCGGCGTCGGCGATGGTCCTCAGGTGGTGATCAGAGGCAAGTCTATCCAGGTACATATGGCCGCCGTTCAGGGTCAGCACGTCCGCTAGAGCGGAAATGAACTCAACCTCTTTAGCGCGCTGGGTGGCAGCTTTGGTGGCAGGCGTAGACGCCTTGGCAGCTCCACTACCTGATGGCTTGCCGCTCGGAACGCCATCGGCTGCTGAGTCATAACGCACACATCCACTGGTCAACATTCTGTTAGCTGCAGCTTGTTGCTTCGCAGTTTTGGCCTTAGTGGGACTTTTAGCACGAGCAGCAGCACTAGCAGCAGCACCACCACCACCACTGTCGGACTTGCCAGTCTGCTGCTTCTTCTTTACGCCACTACTTGTAGAGGCGGCAGAAGATGATACTGGAGGAGTGCCAGCTGCGGTTGCAGCGCTGCCTTTAGTTGATGCGGTTGCAGCGCTGCCTTTAGTTGATGCGGTTGCAGCGCTGCCTTTAGTTGATGCCGTTGCCTTTGATGTACTGGGACCATTGGCCGAGGATTGCACTGCAGCAGTTTTCCCGACCGATGTCTTGCTCGAGCTCGCTGCAGCCGTCGCCGACGAATGGGAGCGTTGCTTCACCGAAGTCGCCGAGCTGTTTGCTGAAGCTGCCACTGCAGCAGCAGGTGTACTGGAGTCGTCCTCTAGCTTCTTCTGACCTTTCTTTGCTGTCTTGCCGCCAGCCTTCTTATTCTTAGCCTGGGACGCAGACTTTAGTCCATGGTTGTCAGCAGCGCTGGTGGCAGCAGTAGCCGGATAGGGACTGGATGAAATCTGCGACAGAAAATTGAGCACACTCAACTCGTCAATCAGCGAATCCACATCATCATCAGAGCCACTCACAAGGCCAGACATGTCAGCTGGACCAGTGCCATAGTCGGCGTAGGAGGCGTCCTCTATGTCTTCCTCGTGGCACGCTACACACCAGTCACCACGGTCCTTGCTGCACCAGAGCTCCGCTCCGAACATTGAACGCAGGAATGTTGGCGTCAGCGGCCGGACGTCTTGGCGCAGGCCGGGCACCTGAGCCAGGCTCTGCGTGATGCTGTCTGCTGCAGCACACACACCGCCGTCATGCAGCAGCTGGGAAATGGTGACTTCGTTCTCGCCAGTCTCCGCATACTGGTCTCTGATGGTGTTGAGGATTGCACGATGCATGTTGTACAGGTGCTCGTCGGCGAGATGTTGATTCAACTTCCGCATCACCTTCTTGCCGTAGAAACCAGAGCTTTCATATGGGCTGAACGTTATTGACGAGCCCGTGATCTTGGCTGCCTTCGTCTTCTTTGCAGCACTCACTGGCGTAGCAAAGCTGGACTTGGCTACAGTGGTTGTGTCCGGTGTGGAACTAGCAGCAGTCAGCGCTGTCGGTGACTTCAGTGCCTGTTGCTGCTGCTGCTGGGACGATGCAGGTGTCTTCTTCTTCTTCTTTGGTGTTTGAGGGGCCGCTTTGCCGTTTCCAGTTTTGCCAGGCGAAGGACGGGTTAATGCCCTTGAGTTTGCAGCGCCTTCATCTACTTCATCCTCTCCGTCAGAATCGGTGTCCGAACACGTATTCCAGTCACGCTCAGAGTCATTACCGACGAAGTCCATCATTGGATCGAACTTGCCCCAGGGATCATACGGATCATAATGATCCCAGGGATCTTCATACTCACCATCCATGAAGATATCAATGAAACCATCCACCAGCTGCAGCATCTTCTCAGTGGCTGCTACAGAGAAGCTGCTCTCGCTGGAGCCCCGGGTCCTGAAAAGGATAGGGACCGACGACAGGAACTCGGCGGAGAGCAGCTTGACGGACGCACTCATGCCGAGTGACTTCTGGGCACGCTTGGCAAGCGCCTGCAGCTCCTTGTCCTGCCTCAGCGTACGGAGAGGATACCAACTAGAGCGCAGATCCAGGTAGTCTCCCATGGCTGCAAGCCAGTGGCAGAATGGCATATCGCTGAGCAAGGCCGCCACATCATCAGCGGTTTGATGGGCCGTCGGCGCTCCTGCTTCTTCTACGGGCTTCTTCAGACCCTCCAGGCAGAATGGCGGGAGAAGTTGGAATGTTGAGCTACTACCGCCACCGGCGGACATCTCAGAAAGGTGTGTTAGGGTGCTAGAGAGCTGCACGGTGATCCACTTCAACGACTTTTTCACTTTCTTATCAATCTTGCGCTGCTTTCTCTTCTTCAAGGCAGTGGGACTTGCTGCCTGGTCCGTTGCGTCTTCAGCCGTGGAGATAGCGACGTGCCGTCTAATTCCAGTCAGCATATCCTTTAGCTGTCGCTGCAGGACCTTGAAGTCCACAGGCTTGAGTGTGATGCTATCAAGGCATGCTGAGATGTCCTTACGCAGGTTGCACACTTCACTAAGCATGGCCGCGGGCAGAGCAGGACGAAACTCCAGACGTAGGTGGCCCGAGTGGACCGCGACCAAGTCGCCACTATCCACGTTGAGCTGGAAATCCACCTTCTGCGAGTGTGGGAGGAAGAGCAGCAACAGGTATTGCGCCACAAAGCCGTTCAGCTCGGTCGACAACACCGTCACACCAGACGCATGCACAGCACCGGGACGCTCAGTTCCTTGAATGGCGGCGGCCACTGCAAAGCTGTCCTCGCCGGGGCCAAACAGGTCAGCAGTGCTACGGGCACCGTTACGCGCATGGCCGATCGGGTTTCGCCAGGAACACAGCACCTCCGAGGCACCACCGCCACTGACAAGATGCCAGTTGATGCTACAAGGCTGATTGCGGCGGTTAATGGTGATGCTGTTGTCCATTGCCGTCGCACCACTGTCAAATGCCATCGCAGCTGATGGTTTCGAGTATGGCGCCGTAGCCGCCGAATGGGGGACCAGCATGCAACGATTACGGCCACCACCCAGCTGACACAGCAGATGCCCGTGCTGGGGCAAATCAGCGAAGTAAGGCATTCGGTCAGCTGCAGATTTGTCAGGAGCTGGCTCAGCAAAGACGATGAACGCCTTGTCCCCCTTGAGTTGCACATGCGCATGCTGCCCTATCGGTGGCGGCAGAGCATCACGCAACTTCTTGCCTCCGTCAGCACGTAAGTGCTGCGGCACATTGCTGGCCACCACGGTGCGGTGCGGTGGCATGTGCTGCTTGATGGCCTCGGTTGTGTCTTTGCGCTGCTTCTTCATCTGATTGCTGCCGCCCGCCGCAGCTGTTATGTCGCAGGATGAAGCCGAGAGGATATTGAAAGAGAACGCTGCTACGAGGGCGCTGCGCAGGCCATCCGCATCATCGGTCAGGTGACGGTCAGGATTCACAGCGTGCACACGGTGGCCTGCACCGGCCGAGAGCGACGTCTGCTTCTGCGAAAGCGACGACAGCCAGCGGAGGTCCTGCAACGGCGCGGTGTCACGCGGCAAGGCACTGGAGAGTCGCGAGGCAATGTCCGTCACCAACGACTCCAGCGTCAACAGGCGCTGCCAGGAGACTGCATTGAGGGAGCAGAACTTCTGTGCGGTCGCAACACGGTTGTAGCTGTCACCGTCTTTCAGCCGCTTCCTTGCTTCGAAACGGTGCTTCAACCAGGAACGGAACAAGCGCCAAACCATCAGCGGCTCGCAGTATTCACCAGCATCAAAGGAAAAACGAGTGGACAGTGAGCGCCACAAGGAGTCGACATAGTCTCTTCCACTGCCCATGACAAGATGAGACGGTAGGGTAAATACATCCAGGGAGACTGAGAGACCAGCAGCCACAATGACACCATCCGCCGCATAGCCCAGAGCCGTAGCGATCATCAGGAAGCGTGCAACGCTCAAGTCAACCGGCAGCCCGAGGCCAATGCGGCCCAGCGAGGTGATGCATGCCTCCTCGTCCGGGGCAGTCAGAGCACCAACTTCGGCAAGACTCTCTACGGCCGCCTGAAGCTGGGCGGTGGAGGGTGGTTGAACTGCTTCTTGCAATAGTTGTGATGGCGTTGGTCGCTCCTCGCCATTCTGGGCCAGTGCATCGCCAAGCTGTCGAACTTGCAAGACAAGCTTGTCCAGAGGCAGACGCACGATCTCCGGTGAATCGAACTCCGCCATTCCGTGCCTATAGAATTTCTCACTAAAGAGACGTATGACAGTGCCTGGGCGCACTCGGCCAGTTCGGCCGGCTCGTTGCGCCGCTGACGCACGCGAGCACCACGAGTGAACGAGACAGCACCGTTTGGAACGCGTGTCAAACACGACTTCCTTTTGAAGGCCAAAGTCGATGACGCACGCCACTTCGGGAAGAGTCAGTGAGCTCTCGGCGATGTTCGTAGCCAGTACAATGTGTGCCGTATCCGCGGGAGGAGTTTGGAACGCTTCCTCTTGCTCATTGGCAGGCATCAGTGAGTGCAGCGCAAACACACGCAGGCGCTGGGTGTTGGTATTCTTGCTGAGCAGTTCGTGCAAGCCCAGGATGTCACCAAGACCGGCGAGAAAGACCAGGACACACTGCCCAGGCTTGGCACACTGGACAATCACGTTGACACACATCTGCATGAGGGGCTCCATAACAGATGCTCGTAGCGGCTCACCACGCACATCCGTGGCTTGCCCAAACTTCCTCATTGCCTTGCCTGTGCCGATTGCGAGCGAGTTCAACACTCCCGACGGTGCACCAAACTCCTGCACAAAGTCAACGAGATTCTCCAGGAAGACTTCGCGCACCGGAAAGCGCTTGACACCTACAAAGAGAGTCGGTGAGATAGCCACCTTGTCTGGATCCACGTCGTCGTCATACAGACCGCTGGTGAAGTAGCGAGCAAACAAATCAGCCTGCAGCGTGGCCGACATCACGATCAGCTTGGTATCGCTGTAGCGACGCATCAGTCGGCGAATGACCAGGCTGAGCAGGTCAGCGTCCGCACTGCGCTCGTGTACCTCGTCTAGCACCACATGTGTGTACGTGCCAAATGCCGATGGCTGATTAACGAGAACCTGTGGAGGTGCACGCAACACAAACAAAAAACAAACAAAGAAAAGGCCAGAAACCGTTCAGAATCAACATCATCATAACCGCTAGCTGTACGGAGATTGAGTAGGCATCGTACATGACTGTACTCCGTACCGGCTTGCTTTGCTACAGCCCAGTAGTGCAGTGCGGCTTGAAGTCGAGGCTGCTATTCAAGCGGTTTATACGTCATTCGGTTTGTGGAAAAAGTGGCCTCTATTCAAGCAAGTCGATCAAGTGCCAGGTCAAGCCAGTACAGTGCCAGTAGCAAAACAGCGAGCTCCCAAACAGGAAGTGCAGGGAGTGACTGATAAACATACATGTATCCTCAACCATCACCAAAGTCGATGTACAGGTGGAATCCAGACAATTCAAATACAGGTGGAATCCTGATAATTCGAATATGGCTTAATTCGAACATACCGCTTAATTAGAAGTTTTTCCAGTACCGATTTCTGTCAATACGATTCCCACATAAAATTTTCTGATAATTCGAACCTCGAACTGGACATGTCCGGTTAATTCGAAGTTTCACGGATTCCACTTACATAGAAAATGTGTGGGATTTGTGCTGATAATTCGAAGTTAGCAAAGTGAAATTTGAAGTGCACTGTACACTGTACTGGTCAGTTCAGTTTGCATGAGCACTTTGTGCTAGTCAGTTCAGTATCCGTGAAATCTGTGTCTAAGGTCCATAACGCAACTCTGCGTGACCATGAGAGCATTTTGACATACATATTGTGTTGTGGGTTCATGTTTGGATAATTAGAATGTCCGGATAATAAGAAGTTTTTTCCTGGCATTTGGAGGTTCGAATTATCAGGATGCCACTTGTATGGCTTAATTCGAACATACCGCTTAATTAGAAGTTTTTTTCCAGGACCGATTTCTATCAATACCATTCCCACATACCATTTCTGATAATTCGAACCTCGAACTGGACATGTCCGGTTAATTCGAAGTTCCACAGATTCCACTTAGGCCACACCAAGTTTTTTCATTGTTTCTCGTCACCGCGCGCGTACCTTTCTTGAGGATTGGACCAAAAAAAATCTCGCGTCCCGGTAAACACGCATAAAAAGGCGTTGTAAAAGTACGCGCGGCGTCAAATCTGGAGTGCAGTGCTAGTGCACGAACCGAAGGACGACTTTTGCACCGTGTATGTACGCATACCGGTAGTTCAAGTACCACACCACCACACGACCTGGTCGTCTTCTTTGCTACACACAGTTCCGGTACAAGTCAAGACAGTGCATGACAGTGCACCGTTTTGGACTGACAGTGTTCCGGGCATCGGTAAACTTGCGGCATTGCGGACTACAAGCACTGTGAAGTTGCCGTGATTCCTTGAGTTCTTTATCAGTTCATCTCGTCGTGGGCGACGATGGCATCTGAAATAGTCAGCTTCGCTGTGACTGTGGATAGCAGAGAGATACTTTCTTGGAACGCTCAACTTGTTGACGAAGGCTTGTCCTTCTCTCAAATTGTATAATAACTTTGGTTTGCTTTCTTTCCTATTTAAATAACATGCAACACTGGACTTCCTCACCAGAGGCCGGTGCAGGAGCCTGGTTTTCTGGCTGTATGTTGCAATTGACTGTCACGCGTGGTGTATAGTCTGATTTTAGGTCATAAATTGGGCCTTTGTAGTGTAAATAGCAGTTTTTGTTTTTCAAACCCTATTTTGGTTTTTTTCCGCCCGCCCGCGTTCCTTTTGAGATTTTCAGGTGACGAGAAACAATGAAATAACTTGGTGTGGCCTTACGTAGAAAAAGTGTGGGATTTGTGTTGATAATTCGAAGTAACAACACTAGTTAGAAAAGTGTAATTCGAAGTTCACTGTACAGCGTACTGGCCAGTTCAGTTTGCATGATCAGGCTGTGCCGGTCAGTTCAGTATGCATGATCAGGCTGTGCCGGTCAGTTCAGTTTGCATGATCAGGCTGTGCCGGTCAGTTCAGTTTGCATGATCAGGCTGTGCCGGTCAGTTCAGTATGCATGATCAGGCTGTGCCGGTCAGTTCAGTATGCATGATCAGGCTGTGCCGGTCAGTTCAGTTTGCATGATCAGGCTGTGCCGGTCAGTTCAGTTTGCATGATCAGGCTGTGCCGGTCAGTTCAGTTTGCATGATCAGGCTGTGCCGGTCAGTTCAGTTTGCACGATCAGGCTGTGCCGGTCAGTTCAGTATGCATGATCAGGCTGTGCCGGTCAGTTCAGTTTGCATGATCAGGCTGTGCCGGTCAGTTCAGTTTGCATGATCAGGCTGTGCCGGTCAGTTCAGTTTGCATGAGCAGGCTGTGCCGGTCAGTTCAGCATCCACGAAATCTGTGTCTAAGGTCCATAGCGCAGCTCTGAGTGACCATGAGAGCATTTTGACATACTTATTGTGTTGTGGGTTCATGTTTGGATAATTAAAATTTCCGGATATTAGAAGTTTTTTTCCTGGCATTTTGAGGTTCGAATTATCAGGACTCCACCTGTGCCACTATTTCCATACAGGGGGAGCTTTGCTTTCCTCAGGATTGATGCTGGTATGAAGCTCTACTTAACACTAAAAGCTCAGTCTGCCTTCTGTGCAAGTGTCGCTTTGATACAAGACTGTACTAACGGTACATAAGGATTGTCCGCTCGTAGCTGTACTGATGAGGCCTTTATGGCCGAAACAGCTTGCTGTCTACAGCAAGGGGATTGTCCGTAAATAGCAATATTGGTCATCTGACTCTTCTCCCAATGAAGGTGCATTGCCCCAACTAATGCATATACAATAGACATCTAACAGATACATGTACATGTAGGTGTCTGGGTGACTTTGTGTGCTATACACAGTATGCATGTACATACCTGCAGGAGGTAGCCGATGGTCATATAGGTGACACAAGTTGTCTTGGACACTGCTACGTCCCTCGAAACGCTGTAACCGACGTCCTTGCCGATCGGCTGTCCGTGAAGCTTGGCAACGTGCCGTGCTAGCATTATGGCCGCAACGCGACGCGGCTGCGTGACAATGATGTGTGCCTTCTTCTTGTTCTGCGACTGCGACTGCTGCTGCTGCTGCCAGTCCTGGAATATGTACAGGGGAACAGATGTCGACTTACCACATCCAGTCTCACCCTGAATGCAGGTGATGCGTTCACGGCGAATCTGTGCCAGGATCTTTTCTCGATGCTGGGCGATAGGCAGGTCTTTCTGCTGCTGAACAGGCTCCTGTACAGGCTCAGCTACAGGCTCAGCTACAGGCTTCTGGACAGGCTGAGCTACTTTGGGTGCAGCCATGTCCAATGTAGCAGCAGGTTCTGGCTGAGACTTTATCGCGGACAGTGCACTGATAGACGTCGGCTTTGACACCGGCCAGATGTCTTCTGGAAGCGCCTGGTAGACAAAGTCGCGCACTGGTGCGCATGCCGGAGCCTCCAGCAAGCGGGAGCGCTCTCCGTGGACAAAACTCCGCAATACCTGCTTCTGTTCCTGCTGCTGGCAATCGGTAGGTGACACAGGAATAGACTGCGGCGCAGCAGCAACGGCAGTAGTAGCAGTAGCAGCAAACAAGGAGGCCCATATAGAGCCGCTGAACAGCCTCTTGATCTCGGGGAAGAAGTGTGACAGACGCAGCCGGCCAGCAAGCTCTCCGCAATGCTGTATGACTGACAGATACCATTGGCCGACGGTTACGCAACGCATTGTCGGCCTCTCCGCCGTGGCCGGAATGGCGCTCGCTGCATCTGAATTACGCATGGTGAACCACATGGCAAGTATCGAGTCAACTTCTGCTCGCTGCAGGCGACACTTCTTCGCTGTTTGTGAGACCATCAGGCTGTTGAGCGAAACAAAGTAGCGCAACATTCCGGATACCAGAACTGTCTCGATCATGTCATGGTCCGCCTTGCTGGATACAGTTCCAACTGTCTCCAGCGGAAGAAGGTACGCTTGCATGTGCTTGTCTAGTTCCATGCCAGGCTCGAGGATATGAGAAACGATCTTCCAGTACCAAGCAACTCGCTCGTAAACTGACAACTGCTGAGCCTCGTCGGCACATGGCACGGTCATCTGCACGCTCGTGACGTTGACAATTCCCACGCCAAAGTTCTTCTTTTCCTGCCGCCCGTACTCTTCAACAAGAGGCTGCCGCAAGAATCCGTGCAGGAACGATCGCATGCTCTGCGTCAGCGTGGAGATAGTTGGCTGGCCAAGCGACAGGTCCTCGAGCCAGAAGTCACGCCATAACACGCCGTTGCAAGCCACGGACAAGGACGACGGCGACAGGAAGCAGTTCTCCACGGCATTGAGAAGAAACAGAAGGAAGCTGTTTGGCGCTGGGTGATCGTTAGTCTTGCTCAGCGACCAGGTCAGTTTTTTACCGGTTGCACTGGTATCATAAAACAACAATGATTCATCAAGGGCAATGGCAAAGTCCCGGTCACTCTGCACTAACTCCTTGATGAACTGATGCTGGTGGATGTCGAAATCCTCCAGCTCTTTAATGACCGCACTGACTGCCTGGACCACTGGGCCACTGGGTAGCTGCAGGCGCTTGTGTACGTTGTGTGATGCTATGAATGGCTTGGTGATATCGTTGCCACACAGGGCAGCAAGACCAGGCAGAGCGGACTGGGGCAAGCCGAGGCTCTCCGCCACCGTCCCCGCGCAGAAGACCGGCACGGGAAAGCGCTCCGGTGTGCTGGTGCCATCACCCGCAGTCAACGGCACCCAGTCAACGGAATCCGGCATGATGACATTGCAGTCTGGCGTCACCAGGAAGTCAGAGTCGGTGCTGACAATGGCAAAGACCTCGCGATGTGACTGAGCATACCGGACTATTTCCTCGTCGGCTTCGCCTAGACATTGCACCCAGTGCACGCCAAGTCGCCGTGCCGTCAGCAGAAGCTGACGGCGTACAAGCATCATGCCAGTCCAGGGCTTGTCATCGCTAGACAGAGCGGCACCCGTGTCGCAGAATGCTTTGATCTTCGGCACTGCTCTTGACTTTTCCAGATCACGCTCTTTGTTCGTTTCGAACTTGCGCCGAAACTCATCACAGTGCGAGCCGCGTGAGCCGTCCACAAAGAAGACCAGCTCAATGTTGATATCACGCAGGGTTTCTATCAGCACTTGTAACCAGTGGTCATAGCAGCGGGGCTCTCCACCCAGCAAGTGTACGTACGGGCTAAGTGCCGGGCAGTCGTCAGACTGTGCTTCCAACACCGCATGCTCGCACCTGCACAGGAAAGTGATGATGAACGAGTAGAAGTCCACAGCCAGCACGATTTGGCCGCTACTATTCGTGTGACCCTCTTGCTGTTGCTTCTTGGCTTGCTCCACCAAGTCCACCGTGCGACTGGCAACCTCCAGGTTACTGCAGCAGTGTGTTACTAACCCTCTTACTCCCATTCTTCAGTGTTCTGCAGTGTAGATATTGTGCGTCAATTACATTGTAAGACTGGCTGAATTCAGGACGCTACGTTTGGAGAAAAACAAGAAAAAATGTTCTTCTACCTCTACACGAACAAGACGACAACAGAACGATGACGCCTTTCTGTAGCTAAAGGAATTTATGGTGAGGGCTGGAGACTATCTTACATACAGGTTTCTATTTCTATTTCGAGTACTATTGCAGCTCTCTATGTAAACTGCTCGTTTTGTGCTTCGCGGTGCATTGATTCGAAACTCCTATGACGTAGTCACATAAAGTTTTTCAACGGAATGTATCATGTTACATTCATGTACCGTATGTACGCAGTCCTTGAGTCGTACCACCGTACCGCTCACCGGCTTGTGTCTGCTGGGGCTTCCCCGTCGGAGGGACTTTCCCTCGTTCACTTGTTCAAATTCGTGGCGGGAGTCATTTTATCATGATTATCATTGTCAGTGTGGCACGCTGCAGTCCCTACTGCATGCCTACCCCGACTTCGGATCATAAAACAGCAGATCTACTGACTGATAGATGTATGAAGTAAAAACCAGGAAGACTACAAAACGTTCTGTGTGTTTTGTAGGGTTTACTAGTCTCAACTGACTTACTTTTTATAATCCCAAGCCGAATGCCTCACCTGCCATCCAGCCTGGATACACCTTATCGCAGAAGAGATTCTGAGAAAGAGAGAGAGAGAGAGAGAGAGACATCGCTATCGTCCACTTTGATCGCGGGTCACTTGCCCTGGCCTGCAGTTGGTGGTGAGTTCAGAGAGTCCACAAGAGACCAGTAGCAGCAAGGGTACTCTTGGTAGTAGCAAACACAGCTGGACGACTGTGTGAGGTTTTAGGACGTTTTTGGTGTTGTACCAATTTAGCCAGGGGTTCAAAGCAGCGGCGAGGGCTTTCACTTAATTTCCCACACTTTTTAGTGGCTCTTGAAGTAAAATATTTCGGTGCAAATGTTAATTAATTACAGTGGAGATTGGATATAACGACACTCATTCGGGAGAAGACAAGATGTCGCTATATTCGATCTGTCACTAAACCCGATCTTCACATTTTAGTATGCAATATGCATATCAAAATGACAGAAATGTATTGCAGATATGCATGTGCATAATAATGCATAATGGATTTCAGATGTGTATGTGCATGTGTCTTGCATGCATAGTTCAAGCCAAAAGTCATGCATAGCGACTGCACCACTCCACTGCGGCTACAATGACCAGCACGCGTGGAGTGCCGGAACCGGAGGTCCGGGCATGTGACACAGACATGTCCCATGCATGCCACTCCGCCTGGTACAAGAGGAAAGTCGTTATATTCGATGTATTTTCAGGTCTTCGGGCACCAAAAAGGTGTCAGTAAATTCGATCTGTCGTTATTTTCGATGTCGTTATACCCGATCTATAATGTACGGAATGGACTTGCTAAACGACTTGGGCAACAGAATTTTATTGCTAAACTCGATTTGTCGTTATATCCAAGGTCGTTATATCCAATCTCCACTGCATCTGAAGAAGAAAAAATTGTCTTGTACACATGTACTCTGGTATACTGTAAACCGTGAAATTATTGCGATGGTCTAATTTCTGCGAAATTCGCGACCGCGTGGAAATCGCGAAATTTAGACAGCGCGAAAAGGAGATCCATGAAAGGTTTAGCAAGAATGCCATTCTGCAATCGCAAAATTAAAACCTCGCAAACCTGTCCGGATTCTGAAAACGCGAACTAAAAACGCCGCGAAAATTTCACGCTTTACAGTACATATCTGTGCACGCGTGCCAAGACAAGAGTACACACACACAGACACACACACACCTTGACCTTGACCTTGATCTTGCCCATTGCGTACGCAATGATAGCGAATGTCGGAAAGTTCAAATGAGAACACGAGCGCAGAACTTGGCATGTCGTTTCAGGTCTCCTGGTCGACGAAACGGGCGTCCGCAGACACATAGAAGAGGATCAGGAGCGGGCCGTGGCGGTGGAGCGCTACTCGCAACTCGTCTCCAACCGGGACGATCTTGGCAACTTTCAAGCCAGGTGGTCACGCCGAGGTCCGCCAGATCAGTCGACGCCACATCTCGCCACCTCTTCTTCGGGCCGTGACGAGGACGAGGGGCAGGCAGCTCGCCGAACAGCAATAGCTTATACACACACACGCACACGCACACATACACACACCAGAACTTGAACCCCAGAGTGCGCAACTGTAATCCTGGTAATCGGCCTGTAGTCTGTGGCCTCCGTGTTTTCATGATCGCACTGGCTACCTTGCACACGCCATGATGCACAACCTGCAGTCACAGCTCCAAGCACCTAGGGAGTTGAGCTGGCTATCCATTGAGCTCTTCAACTGTGTATTTATACCAGGGAGTGTATTTATACCAGGGAGTGTAGTTATACCAGGGAGTGTAGTTATACCAGGGAGTGTAGTTATACCAGGGAGTGTAGTTATACCAGGGAGTTTAGTTATACCAGGGAGCGATGAAAACATGTAAACCATCCCCCCATTTGCCTTTTGTGTTTCCTATAGGACATAACCTTGTAACCAGTTGTTTGTTTGGAAACAACGCAAGGATGAGTTGGTATGGAGGTAAGTAGTATGTATGGTATTGCTTGTTGCCAAGAATTAGTGAAAACATTGTGCATTTTAGAATCTGTTTATACCTTATCTCTTTTCTCTCTAGCTCTCTACGCAACCATTTCTCTACTCTACTCTTTTCCTCTATTTTTTCCCCGGGTATTTGCCTGCTTCTCACCCAGTTCGACATTGTGCTTGTCACCCCAACAGAATGCTAAGCTGTGTGGCATGTTCAAGGCAATACTGTCATGATGGGTTGTGTCCAGCCCAGCTCAGCCCAGCACAACTTACCTGCATTTTGTGCAGCGGCGGCATGCCAACCACTGCATTCTGTCCACGGCCTTGTGTTGCTCCATTTTGATTGTTACCCGTGCGCCATGATTTCCTTCCCTTTCTTTCGCCCTTGTTCTCTGCAGCAATCGCAAACAGGGTTGCTTCAGCCTTACCCGGTGGTTACTTCAGTGGGAGCCACGGTACTGAGCCCAATGGTAGCCAGCATCCATCAGTTCACTATAATCATGGCCAGTACCCGGCACAACCTTACGGCGGCGGACGTCGAGACTATTCTGGAGCGCAATACGGGCCACCAACTGGCTACAACTATGGTCAGTATGGTGGCAAGGAATACAGTACTCGCTCAAGCAGATACGAGGGCACTAGTTCCCAGCCATCTCACCGCTACGAGCCCTACTCGCGATCGTCAGCGCCGGCCACCAACCAGCCGTACGACACGTCCGCTTATCGGCCTTACATGCAGGGTGGCTCCAGTGCCGGCCCGATGCGCACCGCGACAAAGACGAGCACAGCCTCCCATCGCCATGTCACTGTACATGCACCCCCACCTGCCAAGCAAAGCAAATCGAGCAGCAACACATCATCATCGTCGTCATCATCATCGACCAACGCGGCAAGTGCACAACCAACGAAGACAGCCAGTGCAGGAGTTAAACCGCCAGCAGCAACCGCCAGCAGCAGCAGCAACAGCATGGCAAATAGATCACCTGATGCAACCAGCTCATCAGGCAAGTCTGCGCAAGCAACTAACAAATCCAGTGCAGCACCACAGGCAACATCCACCGCCAGCAAACCATCCACTATTACCAGCACTTCGAATAAGCCGCCACCAGCAGCAGCAGTAGCAGCCGCGGGCACATCACACAAACCCCCACAAGCCCCTAGCTCATCCAGCGTGTCACCACAGGCAGCACCTGCAACAAGCAAGCCATCACCCACATCGACATCAACAGAAACTGTGGCAAAATCTACTACCGACACCAGTAGTGTATCAGCACTGTGCAAAACAGATAACCAGCCAACAATGGCAGACAAGGGAAGTGATTCAAAGAATCCCACTGCATCCACACATGCTGCAGCGGTCAGCTCTCCCCTCCTTATCGACTTGGTCACACCCGAAAAGACCTTGCCGAGTACATCCGCGTCCACCGCCGCTACACGTGCCGCCACGACAGTCAGTTCTGACGTCGACCTCATTACACCAGCCCAGGCCACTACTAGCCGCCAAGCCCTGGCCAAGAACTTTACCCAAGAGGTTGCTGTAAGTCGTACATTGTGTGCGTGCATGTCTGTTCACTGCTTTTAGTGTAGCTACCACCGGGACTCTGCTTAGAGCTTTCATCCCGGACTGACGTACAGCTTTAATAATAATTACTTGCACACAGATTGAACAGGATCTCTTCTTGCTGTGGAACACGCGATATATTCGTAGAATTTATGCAGAACCTATGGCTCACATGGGCCAATGGTGTGAAACCCTGATCGCAACAGGACACCTTGGGAGTGTTAAACTGTTAACTGAGCGCTGAATTTGTGAAATTTGTGATACTAGTACATGCACACTGATGCGACCGCTCTACGCTGTCATGCACGCTCCGGATTTACTAGCAAGCGAGTCCTGCGGTCTGCTTTCTGTCACGCCAACCCTGTATATGTAATGCTGCACCTTTTCTGTAGTTCTAGAGAAGAGATTATTTTATTGATAGGTTTGTTTGTCTTCACCTCATGGCCACATGAAAGCACACGCCCAATAAAATAGAGGTACACCGGGTAGGGTGACAAACCACCTTGGTAGGAAAATTATCCAACACCTTGGGCTGTCTACCTTGTACTGGTAGTTACTGCTAGTTGCTATGCCAATTTGTTCTGTGCATTGCTTGGCAACTTTTCCAGACTAAGAAGAGACTTCTGTTGCTCACACGATACAGCGCTGTGGGCACTGTAAAGTGGAAAACTTTCGCTAGAGGTTCTATTTTGCTAAGTTGTTTGCGACCTTCACACATTCGCGAGGATATGTCGCCGCAAACTGCTCTGCACAGTGATTGTGGACAATACAGTCACGATCCAACCGGAGGGATAAAATCGCGCAATTGTTCTCACCTTGAACCGGCGCAATTCTTGAAAACACGAAAAAATTGTACGCCCGAAAGTTCATCGCTTTACAGTGCCGATGGGAGCATTTTGTTTATGCCTGGTGTGTTGTGTGTGGTGCAGCTTGATGGGTGCAATACCTTCACCATCTTTAAAAGGTGTCACTTCTAAATGCTAGTCCTACATCTATAGCAGCTGTTTCTGGTGTCTGCGGGGTATATCAAGTACCGCGAGACCATTCCAGTTTGCTAAGAACAATATCCATCTAGTGTTGGTGTTAGTGCTCTGGAAGCGGAAACGTCATCAGCCATCCCAACGTTGTGCCAATACTTCCATAGTAGGTATTATAATAGTGGTGCCTCTGTTGGTGTTGCTGAGAGGGCCCACACATCTGCATATTGACAAGGTATAGCATAGCCCGTACTTGGACTGCCTAGAAGAATGTGTAGTCTTGTAACCAGAGTGGATATCTTCTGACCATTGTGGTGTTTGCTGTTCCTATTCCTTGCTGATTGATCCCCCCAGGCGACCAAGACACCAGCAGGTGGAATGCAGCTCGATTCGGCACGTCATCGTGTGGCCGCGGCCATGACGCCACTAGTTGGGAGAAACTTCATGGTTACGCCCGGCCAAGACTACTTCCTGACACCGGACACAGTGATGCAGCCCGCTCAGGCCTTCTCGAATTCGTCGTGAGTCTCCCGTGAATCTGATCACTTCTGCATTGCAGTAGCATGTGCATGCTTCTCTGTCTCCCCTCGTTGTTAGGTTATGTGTGCACTTGCACCCTATTCCTTCTTCTAATGTCTTGTTGCTCCCCCTCCCTCCCCCCCCCCCTTCCTCTCTTTATGCATTAGGTCACGGTTGTTTTGCGGCATATCACATCTTATCCTGAGTCTGTGTTATGTGCTCGCTGATTGCTTTTCAGTTTCTTCTATTACGACTCCGAGATAAAATTGAACGAGAGCAACACAGTGGAGTTCAAAGCAGCTGGTGGAGGGAAGAGTAGCAACTACTATCGCGACGTCTTTCCCGACGTAAGAATTTCCGTTAAATGTTGACCCTGCTGTTGGCCATTGCTGCTGTTGAAGTGAATTGCAACGGAGCACTTTGAACCCTCTCCTCTTGGTTTATTTCAAGGAGCCCTGCGCTCCGTCTATCATTTCTTCTGTGTTCTTGTGCAGCATGTCGACCGGTATGTGTCCGGGTTCTTGAACTCTCACAACGGCGGATGGCTGATGATGGGCGTATCAGACAACGGTCAGTGAAGGACTGGTGTCAGGCACCTGTCAGTGTGGAAATGTGCAGTGCACTGTATTGTCGCCTTGCCTATGGTGTACTTCTTCTTTTTTTTGAAGTACAGTAAACCTCCTCAATAACCACCTTGACTCTTTTGCTTGAGCTAACAACAGCTTGCAAATAGCGACACTATCTTCAGACCTAGCGGTCATTTGACTGCATATTTTTTGGCTTCTTGGCGTGTTGTTATTCAGGTCGTGTGTGCGGTACCTTTGCACCGCCACACGTACAGCGGCACATGGAGGACACGCTTCGCGATCGCCTCTTCTTCTTTCGGCCGCGGGTGTCCACTAAATACTACAAGTATGTAGCCGTGGTTGGCTATAAAAACCCTGCAATCGCCACGCAAAGTGGTCATTGGCTACCCCTGCCATGTATTGCTTGGAATAAAAAAATTTTTAAAAAATGTTCTTAAGAGTGCGACTTGCCACTACGTATATAGGATGTCTGTGTACAACTGTATACTGCCTAATGTTTGCCACGTATTAATGTTTGTGCTAATTTTGCGAGAAGAGCGGATATTCACCATCGTGAAATCAAACTTCAACAGTGGGTGTATGTGTGTGTGGCCACAGTGTTCTTTGAGAATTTGCCATCGTGAACTCGCTGGGTCTGAGAAATTGCGAAAATTTCGTGACGCGAATATTGGGCGGTTTACGGTACTTCGAGTACTAGTGTTCCTATTGTGTGCAAACTGCATGAGATCCCTGCTGTGCTTATATTTCTAGTATGCTGGTGACGGCATGTCATGAGGCGGAGAACACACTGCAATGAAAACATATACATCATGTATTGCTTCTAGTCTACAATGCCTTACTCTGGAGAGCTCTTGCCAATTTGGACCCTGCCTGTTTGCAATGAAATTTTGGAATCGTACAATGTAAATCATGGTTTGTTGATGCTAGCTTGGATAGTGCTTGGATAGTGCTCATGATTGTTGTGTGCTGTTTCTATTTTTCTTGTGTCGGTGCATCGCCAGTTTCTCCTTCAGGCCTGTCTATACACGGCACAACCGGCACATGCAAGATCTCTACGTGGCCATTATTGAAGTGCATCCGCTCAAAGCCAGCTCTGATGTAACCACCATCTTCGAGACGAAAGACCGCCGGGTATGTGTGTGTGCGCGCGCGTGTGTGTGTGTGCATAGGCATGTGCACGTGTGTGTGGTGTGGTGCGGTCTAGTGTGTTAACGTTGACATTACACAGGTCAGGCAGTTCTGTATGTTTGAGAGGTTTGCTGCAGGGCTCTCGGCCATTCAGTCTTAGAAAAAACTATGTTCTGTGCAGTGGTGCAAGGTGAGGCCATTGTGATCTTGTCTGAGCTGTGTACTTGGGACTCGCATGTCAGACTATCAGTAGTAGCAATGCGAGTCACATTGTAACCTAGGCTCTGCCTGCTTACTCTCGACTATTCTTAGGTATACAATCATGTACATGCACAGTGTTGCCGGGTGAAATCCAACCCCGGGACCTCAGCTTTACAAGCTCCTAGTGGCCGGATTTTACCTGGTGCCTGTTGTGTCAACAAACGCAAACACACGAGGTAGGGTTTGTGACTTATCTTTCAGAAGACAAAGAGAAAAGACTTCTTGTCCATAGCAAAGGACAGGCAGAAAACCGTGATGCATGTGTGTACTAGTATGCGTACACACGCGAGTGCAAAAGGGCAATGCGTACAACAGGCAGAACATATATGGATACACCACGCCCCTTCTGAGATAAAAGACATATTTATCTGATCAAAACAATCAAAAACAAAACACACAGCAGCAATGAAGTGCATAAGTAACAGCAACAGTCATAGGTCCGGCAGAAGAGCAGAAACAGAATGAGGACAAAGTCATCAGTCATAAGATTGTCCGCGTGTGGATATCACATTAAACGGGACATTCTGCTGCCGATGGCGATGACTGCGGCGTGGTGCAGGCTGTGCTGGGGCATGTACACCAGGGGCAATAGAGGCAACTGGTGTCTGGCCTTGTGCAGCGTCTGGAGCATAAACAGTAGGGACGGCTGCAGCTGGCGGGGGTGTAGGAGAGACTCTTGGTCGGAGGAAACGGCGGTTGCGCCAATAGATGCGGCCGCTTGGAAGTTTCACCAAGTAGTCCCGGTGCTGACCAATGGCTACGATTGAGCCATGAGCTGACCACAACTTGGTCCGGGGATGCTGGATGTCGACATGTGCTCCCAGAGACAGACGAGGAAGGGACCGAGCAGAGCGGTTGTAATGCTGCTGAGTCGACTCCAGGTAGTGTGATGAGCGCTGGTCAACTTCATTAGCGTGTGTTTGCCATGCAGGAGCAAAGCTGGAATGGTGGGCAAACACAAAAGACGACAGAGGCCGGCCGTAGAGAGCTTGGGCTGGACTCTGACCAGTGGCGTTCGGGGTATTCCTCCACTCAAGCAACGCACGTTGAAAGGAATCCACGTCGAGGTCGCCATTACTAGTGGTCTTGTGAATTAGCGACTTCATGGCTTTCACGGCATTCTCGGCAAGCCCATTCGACTGCGGATAATGGGGAGAGGATTTAGCATGACGGATGTGCCAGGTATCACAGAACTTAGCGAACACATGGGACTGGAACTGAGGGCCACCATCACTGGTAAGTACCTCGGGGACACCAATGTCAGGAAACCAGCGGCGAAGAGACCGAATGACGTCTGCAGAGGAGGCAGTGCGTCCGAGCTTGGCAACGCAGGGCCAGCTGGTTAGTCGGTCCACATACACTAGATACTGCAGGCCTTCACACTCAAACAGGTCGGCGCTGCAATGCTGGAATGGCAGATCTGGAGCACGATCGTCCACACGGAGTGGCTCCTTCGGTTGTGAGGCGCTGTGCAGGCGGCACTTGTCACAACTGCGGACAACATGCTCGATGTCGGCTGACAATCGTGGCCAGAATACAATCTGCCGGGCACGGGACTTCGTGCGCGTCAATCCTTGATGGGATGCGTGCAGATCAGACAAGACACGCTGCCGGAGAGCGACGGGAATCAAGAGACGGGGTCCTTGCATCACTAAACCACTGTCAATAGAGAGGTGCTCGTGACCATTCCAGTACGGCTGGAGTGACTCAGGCATGAGGGACCTCTTAGCAGGGAAACCAGACACGATGAACTGAACTAGGCACTGGTAGTCAGGGTCGGCCTGGGCGGCGGAGCGGAGCGCGTGGTACTTCAGGCCACCAGACGTATCAAGCGTGCACGCACGGATAGCAGCGCCCTGAGAGGCAGTACTCTCACCCAGTTCATCGTCAGGGCAGGGGTCGCTGACTGGATGGCGGGACAGAGCGTCAGGGAAAGCATGATCCGTGCCTTTCCGCCAGGTTGCGTGTAGCTGATAGGGCCGAAGTTTCAGGACGAGCCGCTGCAGCCGGGGATTCTCTATCTGATCCAAGTAGTAGGAGTTCAGAATAGGGATGAGCGGGCGGTGGTCGGTAATAACTTCGAACCGAGCACCGGAGAGATAGATCGAACACTTGCGTACTGCCCAGGTAACCGCAAGGCATTCAAGCTCAATGACGGCGTATCTCGTCTCTGCATCAGAGAGGAACCGGCTTCCACATTGGAGTATGCACCAGGTGTCGCCCTGCTGCTGCCACAAAACATAACCAAGTCCGTTCTTCACGGACGCATCAGTTTCTAACCGAAGCGGTCGGCCAGGCTGAAAGAACGACAATATCGGGGGAGAAGCCAGGGCAGCTTTGACGGCGTTAAACGCGTCAGTGTGTGCCGACTCCCACAGGAACACATTCGTGGACTTCAGCAACGGGCGAAGCGGGTCGCTGAGCTGTGCGATACGGGGCGAGAAATCACTACACTGATTGATTAGCCCGAAGAATGAGCGGACGTCAGTGCGATTAACGGGTACTGGGAAATCAGTGATGGCTGCCGTCTTGTCACTGTCAACGGTGTAACCATCCGTGTTGATGTGGTAGCCACAGTAGTCGACTTCTGGGACGCCGAAGACGAATTTCTTGGCGCTCAGGGTAATGCCGTGCTGACGGGCGCGGAGCAGAGCGTCACGAACGTGGGTGAAATGAGTCGTCAGTTCCGTATCGTACACAAGACCATCGTCAACCACTTTTACGAAGTTGGTGAGGCGATCAAACGCTGCGTCGGTACGGGAGTTGAATACATCACCAGCCGAGACAAGGCCCTGCGGGTTGCGAAGAAACTGGTACCGCCCCCACGGTGTGATAAAGGTGGTGAGCGGCTTGGCATCGTCGGACAGCGGGACTTGCCAATAGCCATGTCGGGCGTCGAGCTTCGTGAAGTAGCGGGCTTTGCCGATGGCTGCCACTGCGTCATGTGGTGTACGAGCAGGATGGGTGGGTCTGCGTACCTGATCATTCAGCTTTCGAAGGTCCACAGTCAGTCGCATCTCAGTTGTGCCCTTCTTCTCAACGAGAACGATCGGATGGCACCACGCAGAGGGTTCTGTGACTGGCTCGATAATGCGATCATCGACCATACTGTCCAGTTGGGACTTTATCTGATCCCGGTAGGCAAACGGTATGGTGCGAGCAGTGCGGACGCAGCTGGGTTCTGCACCTGGTTCCAACTGAATGTCCATGGGCGGACCATCCATTGGTGGAAGCTGTGAGCTGTCGAAAACGTCGGCAAACTCTTCCAGAAGCTGCTGTTGGAGCTGCCGGGCCGTGTTGGGTTCAGTACGGGCAGAACGGACAAACACGGAGGGCCAAGAAGCAGGCAACAGATTCAAGGCACAGAGGCTTTGGCGGGATAGCAGTGCCTCATCCAGGCCTTTGTACACGTGCAGTGTGGTGTCGTGTGTGACGGAATCGAGCGTCAAGGTCGCCTGGATCTTGCCAAGACTGGTCAAGGGTGCGCCATCAGCGGTGCGCACAACATCCTTGTCGGTAGGCAGATTCTCAATAAAGTCTCCGAGGAGCTCGAGGTGTGCAGGGCCAATAGCGTTGATGTCGCTGCCGGTGTCAGGAAGCCAGCGCAAACTGGTTGGCTTGTCGGCAGACACGAGCTGCGTGTTGACGGCTATGGTAGCCCCTTCACGGGAGGACGCGGCACGTTGCAGCTTCAGCTGACCGACAGTCCTCTTAGAAGCAGACGGACACATGGATAAGAAGTGACCGGTGCGTTGGCAGCCATTGCATTTGCGATCCGCAGCAGGGCAGGGTCGCTTGCTATGAGCGGTGCGGCCACAGTTGGGACACTTGTCCGGCGAGGGCTTGCTGCCAGACTTGGTATCCTTGGCTGCGGGTGCTCGAGCTTGCTTGGATGCCATTCCTTTCTGCTTCTTATAGCTGGAACGAACGGCACTCACGGACGCGTCTCCAGTGGCCTGACTGGGGATACGTGACGAGGTTTGACTGGCAGCCTCCTCGGCGCGGCATAGGTCGACGCAGGTTGCCAGGGTTAGATCCTTCATTGCCAGCAGCTTGTGTCGAACGTCATCCTGCAGGATGCCGGTAACAATGCGGTCTCGCAGAATTTCATCCGTGTTAGCCTGGAGCGACTGCTGGCATGTTTGACACATACGCCCTGAGCATGTCGAACAGACATCCAACCCGGAGAAGTTGCACGCATGAAACAACTCCCTCAGGGATGTGTACCACGCGTCGAACGTCTCTCCAGGTTGCTGGGCACGGCGGTAAAATTCAATCCTGTCCAGCAGGGGGTTGCGCTGGCGCCGGATGAACTTGCGTAGTTCAACCATGGCCTCCGGGACATCATGGGTGTTTGGCACCACAATCACACCTTCACGAACGAAACGTCGCAGGTCCTCATCCAAGGCCTGCCTAAACGCGGCCATCCTTGTCTCGCGGGGCTGCGCTGACAACAGCTGACACCGGGAGTAGTCCTCCCAGGCCTCGCTCCACGATACAAATTCAGCTAGATTCGCCGACGACAACAATATGGGCCGATCCACAGCGACGAGCTTGGTGGATGGAGCAGGAGCAGACGAAGCAGGTGCACTCGTGCTGCTTGATGATCCTTGCGACATTGACTGCAACAGAGTTTGGAGCTGCGCATCGCGCTGGGCAGATGCTTGCACTTGAGCTTGGATCAGCTGCACCAGTTGGTTGATGTCCGGCTGTGACTTAGCACCATCCGCCATGGCGAAATCACAACTATCGATATCGTACTACAAGGCTACGAAAAAATTCTAGAACTTCGAAACGGACAATTTTCGAAGCGAAACGAAAACGGGCAGAGAGCAACACTACAGGTGGGCTACTCTACAACTGCAATGGAACTACTAGTATACTAAGACTACAGGTAAAGTAAGACGTTCACTGCGCCATGTTGTGTCAACAAACGCAAACACACGAGGTAGGGTTTGTGACTTATCTTTCAGAAGACAAAGAGAAAAGACTTCTTGTCCATAGCAAAGGACAGGCAGAAAACCGTGATGCATGTGTGTACTAGTATGCGTACACACGCGAGTGCAAAAGGGCAATGCGTACAACAGGCAGAACATATATGGATACACCAGTGCCAATGCATACAAGTACAGTGTTGCCAGAAGTCTACCTCCCTGGATCTCGGCTTTACTTGCTATTGGGGATTGGATTTTATCTGGCACTACCGTAACAGAAGAGATAGTCTTGTGCCCAGTTCTCATAATTTATGTACATGACCTTACCACCATTCAAGTCCCCTGGCCAGCATGACAAGCTGAAGTGCAGGGTCTTCCCACTTGAAGGAGGCTTCTTTGTCGCCAGCTGCGTCTTCCACGCCTCCTTCATCCGTTACACATAGTTTCCAGGTTGAAGGTGTCTGCATGACGGTATGCGTGATCGTGTACCTTTCTCTCCCATCCACACAGGCTTATATGAAGTGTGATGGGTCCGTGCAGGAGCTGACGGTGCAAAAGATAGTGGAGCACGTTAAAGCATCGTACGATAAGGTATGCAAGTGTGTATATTCTCAGAGACGGCGTTGTTTTGCAAGTTTCATTCGGGAGAGTGATATTCACGAGTTCACAGTATACGTGTGCGTAGTGTTCGTTTGCATGCATGAATTCCGGTTCCTTGGGTTTTGAATAGGTAAATACGATAATTATGTCCGCGTGTATGACCAGGCATTGTGTCCTGGTGCGTTATAATTACTTATTAATAGAGAAATGGCTTGAAACACGAACACTCATATCTTCCATGTCGTGCCGTTCCTTGTGAATCTTCGTGTGTGTGTGTGTGTGCATCAGGTGCTGCGGGAGCGTTTAGCAAAGTAGTGGCATGTGTACTTGCACCACTACTCAATCGGGTAAGCTCCGAGTGGATTGTGTTCAGTTGATTTCAAGTCCTTTTGTTGCTATTTTCTTACCCAGCCCATCAGTATTGCGCTTGTACTGCTGTATCGCTACTTGTACACACAACTACCCATGGGTTCTTTGATCATTTCCGCTGACTGCTAGTAACCCGGGTGCTGACTTGCTCCGTAGCAAGGCTGTGATGTCTGCTGTTCCGTGAACGTGACACGGGCCGTGTTGGTGTGTGGCACATCACCAAGGATCGGTGCAGTCTCTTGAGTTCTGAACTAACTTGACTTGCGATAGGTACTGGGCATGCTGCAGTGCTCCACAAATCCAATCCCAAAACTCTCTTTCCAAGACGTTGATCCACATCCCATCGATATTTCTCTGTATTACCACCATCCACTGGATTCAGACCTAAACGCTCGCATCAGCGTGTTATTTTTAACGTTATTGCTCTTGCTTGTGTAGCATGTTATTGCTCTTGCTTGTGTAGCATGTTATTGCTCTTGTAATTTTATTAGTTGTTTAATTTTAAAAGTAGCTCTTGTCCTGCCGTGCTATCCTGTTTGTGTTGCATAGTGTGCATAAGTCCATCTTTCATCTGTTCTAATGCAAAACACTAACCTAACCCCCGCACCCACAGTAACACTGTACACCACCCCACACTGCACAATATAGCTTCGTTTCCACGCCTTGTGATCATTTAACCACATATTCATTTTCACTTTTTTTTGAAATGCTCTGGGGAAGATATTTCAAAATGTACTGTACTATAATTACTATAATTATGATTCTAAGAAAATGGGCATCTAAGCGAGACTGGTAGCAATCCATCTGGTTGCAGTGTATTCACAGCACGTTTAAAGCTGCTGAACCATTGAGATAAAGGCAATGCCTTTTCTACGCTGCAAGTTTACCCAGCTAGAAAAAAGGGTGGCAACCTGGCACGAAAGTAAAATGCATTGTCAGGAGTGCTTGCTCTATCAGAATAAGGAAATAAGCCCTATGAAATTTGCTCGTCCCAAGGGACCAAGCGTCACTAGTATTTCACCAAGTTGGAATTGAAATAAATAATGCGACAGCAGGGGAGAATGTCCTAAAGTTGCTACAGATACGTTGAGACGGATATCTCTCGTTGTCCTGAAGTTCTAGCCTCAGCCCAGGGTCTATATGTCACTTTCCGCCTCGTTGTTGAGATCAAATGGTGTGAACTTGACGCCCTGACCATCATAGAACTTGTTTTGGAACTCGACCCTGCAATGAACACATACATACCCATGTGAACTCAGATGATGAGCCAAGGGTCACACATGTGTGCACCCAGAACACCGGAAATGAACACACGCGCGTGTAAATATACAGACAGAGAACCAGATAGAGAGTCCGAGGAGAGAGATAGAGAAAGTCAGATAGCGAGAGTCAGATAGAAAGATTGAGACAGAGAGATTGAGACAGAAACAGAGATAGACAAAGGGTGGTCCTCTGCTACCAGTGGGCGGGTGTAGGTGGGTGACGGTTTAGAAGATGGTTAACTTTCAAACTCTCACTAGCGTCAAGTATCTTCATGCATGAAGAGAAGTACAGTACAGTGTACCAGGTATTTACATGATCTGTAGGACCGGGTACTGTAATTTCACAAATTTTCGGTATACTTTTATTTTCGGTGCGTCTGTTTCATACCTAAAATTTCAATACACCGAACAAACACTATCACACATAATCCAATAGGGAACTGCTTCTCTGTACCGAAAATTTCTGTTCACCTAACCTAGCCTGTTGCCCTCATACCGAAAATATTGAGCACCGAAAATTTCTGAAATTAGAGTACCCCATGATCTGTATGAGAACACGGATACTACTAGTGCTAGCAGTTATGGCAATTGTTGAATCAGTTGTTCGGATTTGCAGCATTGAGCGTCCTGAGGGGTTATAATCTTTTCTTGGTCGTGGCATTCCCTGACTGAGCACACTTCCATATCAATAGTGACGGTTCATTTTCGTCCGGAAATACCGGGTACCACATGGTCTGTATGAGAACACGAGAGACGTAGTGATGAACATGTGCCGTTCCTTACCAGTGCAGACGCAGTGCGTGCAGGAAAGCCGAGAGTCCCTCCATGATCAGGAGAATGTTGATCGTCAGAACTGGAGAAACAGCACAGCAAGGGAAGGAGAGCTTAATATCAGTGATGAACTGAAGAGAGATCATCACAAGGCAAGGATAGCTTTGTATTATTGATGCTACGCAATTGTTTCACCTAGCGGATGTGCTCACAGAGGGACGGACTCTCTTGCACACTTTCTTCGACGACAAAGGTAGTGCTGCAGCAGTACTGTACCGTGGAAATGTTCATGTCTTGTCCAAAGCACTCGTACTCTGGTACACTGTAGACCAATGCGTGTTTACCTCATGACAATGCAGTGAATGGTGCGGCACGCCATTGTGTGTGTGTGTAGTGCTCTTCTGAGTGTAAAGGCATTCCAAGCTAGCCTCCCAGGAATTGACTTGCAGGGGGATACGGACACGGTATTGCTCTACAACTGGTTAATTTATTTTTATTTATTAAACTCGATCTCGTAGCATGTGCACGCAGCGCTAATGTGGGGAGCAACCCCAGAGATGAGGGCGATACCCAGCCATGGCAAAAGGACAAGAGAAAAAAAAGAAAAGAGTAATACTCTGCTGCTTGTGGTCCTCAAGAAATGAGCGGACAGTGGAGCAGCGACGTACCTGCCCAGATGGCGAACACGACGAAGATGGCGACGATCTGAAGCGGGCTGGTCATCGCGTTCAGACCAATGCGAAACATCATAGCCCACAAGACTTCAGACAGCTCTGCTCGCACAGGAGAAGAGAGGAAGGCAATCAGAACGAAACACATCTGACCAGGGAACTATGTGTCAGCACAGGGACAGTGGTGCAGCTAGTTACATCATTCCAGTACTTTCTGTTTCAGTAGCATACTGCGCTTTTGGAGATTGAGTTCGCACTATACATGTATCTTCAATGGCATGGTACCAGGTTGACGATCTACGTGTATTTCGTGATGCTGGGTCAGTAAATCAAACAAAACAGACAAGTCTGTTAGTAGTACATCGTTCTATTGTGAAAATGACGCAATATGGGTTACGATTCAGAAAGGTTCTGACATTTTGACAGAAGAGTGTCTATGATAAAGTTACTGGTGGTCATTGACTCTCTGGCTTACCAGCGTGAGCCAAGCTCAGAGCCCAGAGACGCAGGTAAGACGCTGTGTTGGAGATGCAGCCCAGGCAGAACTCGATCGTGTGGATACCCTGGTGTACAAGGATGTCACCAATATTGAACTGGACAGAGGAGAAACACGGAAACACGGCTCACAAAATATCGACAGAGTTGCTGTGAAGACTGTGCCTGCTCAACACGGAAGCACCATAGTTACATTGTCAATGCCGCCCATCTTTGCTATCTGCTGTAATGTGCAGTGCCTGGCATGTTCAAGCTGGCATGCATGCCTGTGCTTCTCAGTGATGTGGCCTAAACAAGGAGATTGCTATGCATATACGCTACTGGGCATCGTCACAGCATATCAGTTGTTAATATTGGAACATGTTTTGTGCAAGTTGTCCTGCAGTAGCTTGGCGACCAGCACACCAATCAGTTCAATACAAGTACTACCACTTACCTCTTCCTCATCTCCGTGACCACCTGCGGCTGACTCTGGCTCATCAGACCTGCCATTCTCCAGGCCCATGACCGCTGCAGAGGCATCGCGGTCGTCTTCGTCTTCGTTGACAACCAGATGCTCCGTGTCATCGCCTGTTGGCCGGATCACTGCCGTTGCCAGCATTCCGTAGCGCTTCTGCGGGGACAATGATCACAACATGGCACATGCAGCGTGGCTCGGTGTGTGACGTAGTGTGACTGTGCACTTTGAGTACTGTCGAGACTCGCCAGCGTAGAGCTGCTGCTCTGGCTACCCTGCACTGTGGCGGCACGGAGACGTCGCAGGTGAGGTGGCATGACAGTGCAGACTTCACCACTGCGTTGCCCACGGCTACCTTTGCTTGCTACTTCTATCCTTGCTCGATATACTTCATTCTATACGTGTGTGACGTTGTGTCATAATATTACTTCATGAAACCATGAAACCTGCCCTCTGAGAGTGCCTTCTGGACTGTTTAGCCAGAGTAGCTAACATTGGTCTTGTATTTGTGCGCAGCTTGTTTTCTTGCTATCATCATTCACTCTATTCCCATCACAATTCAGTACTATCGCACACACAGGTATGGCAGAAAATCATCTACAAGCACAGGGGCGTAGCAGCCAGTACGGCTTTTCCCGGACCACTTTTTCGCCCAGAAGAGCTCAGAGTGCAGGATTTTGCACCCTAATTTCAAAATTTTCCGCGGGAGAACCCCCCCCCCCCCACCGGACCACCTCCAACGGCGGTGCTACGCGCCTGAGTACTTACGGATTTCTTGTTGCGCATGTAAAGGATGATGGGCTTCATCATCAGCATCCATGGCACGCACAGTACGGCTATCACCACCAAGATCGACTGGATTCCGGCCTACATTGTAGTTTGACACACAGAGCAGTTGAACACAGGCGGTGAGTGCCGTGCGAATCAGTGGCCATCGTACGGCGGGTTACACACGTCTCATTGTGCTGTTCAGCCGCCCTGAGACCTGAGAGTGCCTGCTGCAGTCGCCCGAGGGCCAAGTGAGTGCTATGCATGGAAGCGTAATTCCTTTTCGCACAGCAAGGCTCAAGCGGGGCTGGTGTAATCTTGTCTCTTACCTGTCCAGCAAAGAATTCGTTTTCCTTCTCGACATTTCCGAACGACAGGAACATGTTGATAAGCGTGATGAGCAGACTGGGTGGCTGTAAACATACATCCCATACATGCCATACACACATAATCATCACATAATCACATAATGCCAAACACACATAATCATCACCAGCAGAAATTGAGTCCGACTGGCCAACGGAATAGATACAGTCATCATGTACGCATGCAAACATACAAACATGGACACCAGGACTGGGTGTTAGTACCCGGGACTGGGTGTTAGTACCCGGGCACTGTGACACTGTACCAGCAGTACCTGAAGATCACTTAAAAACTACAATTACATGCAAATGCACGCACATACCTGCCCCCCCCCCCCACACACACACGCACACATAATAATTATATAGTCAACACAAAGGATATTGTGCATACAGCGGAATGCTCTCCGCCAACTTACCCCGGCCATCCCTGCATTGAAAGTCGTGTCCACTAAGATCCACTTGAAGAAGATCATGAAGGTCAGATAACCGAATATGCCACCCAAGAACAGAACCTGCATGGACAATCATGAGAGGAGGGAGTGTGAATGACACTGAATGTGTGCATGCATGTAGTAAGCTAGGAACACCTGCCTTTTGCGACCACCTGTCTTTAGTGACCACCTGTGTTTAGAGACCAGTCATCTCAGACCCTGCACCAGCAGCACACATTCAGTCCTCTCTAGACACACCACCCTGCTTTTCTGTGCATCATGCCTAACCACGCTACATTTGCCTGCGGGTTTGTAACATGTAGTTCACTCTTGCTCTTCATTCCTCAACAGAGCCGGTGTCTTATTGCTGCTGGCTGGGCGGCAGCATTTTTCTTTCCCACCCTCCAGCGCTTGCTTGTTTGGAGTTGCAACATGGTTTTCAGGAAGACTAGGGTTCTATCCAATGGTAGGTGCCCTACTCTGATAGCGCATCACCCTGCTCAAATTTCGATTTTTGTGGTTTTCAGTTCACAGAACGAAAATGCGGCCTCAACTCGATCGTTCCGGGTGCTTGCTACACCCGTACGTTTCATTTTGTGTGACAAGGCAATAGTGGAACATGGCAAAAAAATGGGCAAACTGTTTTTCCTGCCCCCCCCCCCCCCACCATTTTTCCTGGCTAGAACCCTGGAAGGCTGCAATGTCATGCCATGTCTGTACGAGATGGTGTCGGTACTGGTCCAAACGTTGTATCAATACTGCCTACTCGGCTTACCTCGGGTACGAACTGTGCGTAGATGTTCACCTTGCGGTTGAAGTGACTAAGAAACACAGCAACATACCAGCGCAAACAAACCGTTCATGTTCACTCTAACCGTCTACCAGGCACATAGCACACCCGTTAGCACCGTCTGTTCCAGCCAGCTGATGTTGCTCTAGCCAGTATTGTACACAGGCATACTATTGACAACTACATGTACCAGCATTCACCTCATTATCCACAATTTGTTTCATGCCTAATCCATGATCTAGTTACAACTAGTTGTGAGTGTGTGCAACAGTGCAGTAGATTGTAAGGTCATGCAGTCCAAACGTGTACAGTGTTATGCACGGTGCTTCATTGTGCGAGGAGAGCAAGAAATCGAGAGACAACACAAGACAGCGAGAGGCAACGCAGAAGGGAGACAGGCACATGGCAGTAGCGAAGCAAATAAGAGAGGATTGTACATTGTATGTCGCACTTACAGATGGTTGAAGACACCTAGGATAACACCAAACATCATCTGCCCCACTCCCATCACCACGGACAGCTTCATCTTGAACGAGTTGGTGAACGTCAGCTTGTTGCTGGCCAATTGCCAAATCTGCATAGCATAGGTACAGCAACATACCATAGCCACAGCAACATGGCAGAGCGGGGGGCAGGCTCACTGCACCAGTGGTTACCATTTCCTATAAGCCCATTCAAAATTAACACAACACGTTTGACGGAATTCAAAGGATGGTCTTTCACAATTTGATGTTTTGCCTCTGATGTGGAAGTTGTGGATTTTGTTCGATTATACAAAGCGGTGAGCAATGAGAAAGAAAGGGAGGTGATTGCAGAGCTAAAAGTGATCCAGAAGCAGCAAGACAATGGGCGTGGTGTTGGAGAGTGAACAGAACTCAAGGTTCATTGTCGTATCAAAAGCTGTAGAAAATCATGCATCGCACTTTGCTACAAGTGCAGATTCTGAAGACGGCATTTTTGATTTTATAAGCCAATACAAGGGATGGAGCTGAAAACGCTGAAGACAGGTTGCACATAGGGACCTGAAGACTTGTTGGGCATTCTTTGGTCACACGACTTACCGGATCTAAGCCAAACGGGTAAGGATTGTGTTTGTCGAAGTCAGTATCCACAGACAGGTCTACCGTCTCTTCTGTTTTCTCGGTGATCCTAACAAAACGCAAAGCACAAAGTTGCAAGAAGCAGATCTATGAGTATCTTGACGGTACTATTGTGTGTGTGTGTGTGTAATCATCTTCAGTCCTATGAAGCCGAAAGTGTGTGTCGGCTGAAGATTATAGACATGTCCAGCACAATGCCCACACCCTAGACAGTATGACCCGCTCTTGTCCTTGAGCTGTGTGTAGAGGAAGCTTACATACCCCACCCCTCTCAGCATACTCACTTGAGCTGTGTGTAGAGGAAGCGTACATACCCCACCCCTCTCAGCATACTCACTCTTCGTTGATATGCCACGATGAGCCGAAGACGTTGAACGATTTGGAGAAGCAGTCGTTGTAGATGATGCCAGTGTAGATGGAGAATGCGCCCATGAGCAGAATGATGTAGCGGCCACCGAAGAATGTGCCTGTGATCTGCAGTGGTGGTACAGAAGCCAGCAAAGATCAACATGTGAGCTTCTCAAAGGAGTACAGTGCATTTCCATTTGTGATTATTTATGTCCTAGCGTTGGATTACATGAATAGTCGGCCGCACCTGTCCTGCATGCTAGTACACCAAAAGTCTATCCCTACATGCGGCGTGCAGTACAGAGAATGGTCATCATGAGTGCCGTGCTGGACGGACTGTTTGTCTCACCTCTCCGCCCTTCATGTGCGCCAGCTTCTTCTCGTTCACCACCAGGTAGAGAGCAAAGAGGGCCATGAGGAGGCCATGGCCGCAGTCACCGAACATGACAGCGAAGAGGAACGGGAACGTGATGATGGTATACGGAGCTGTGCACCAGCCAAACAACATACCAACAATTGACCAGGTTAGGAAAGGGAACACTCTGCTGTTGTGCTGTCCACCGACTGCATGCATGGCTACTGCTCATGGGGGAGCTGCATTTGCATTCTGGTCATTGGCTGTGGGGATGCGGAAAGGTCAGTATAACCGACTCGTATGTGGAAATTATATTTTGCTGAGGATTTACTGCTCAATAGTCAATTCACATGCATGCTTGCGGTGGATCCTTCCAGATCAGCCAGGCCGCGCACGCACCACATGCGTTGTCCTTCCCTCGCAGTCAGTGATTGACAGCAACAGCTAACGTTATGTACCCGGCACTTACTCGGGTTGACCTCGCGATAGGTGGCAACGCCGTACGCGTCCACAATGTTCTGGAAGGCGGCCGTGAACTTGTTGACTTTGTTGTACGTGGGCGGTTTCAGCTTGGTCTCCATGCGATTCAAGATGGACGGCACCTGGGAGCTGCTCTTTCTCTGCAGAAGTAGGGGAGAAAGTGATGTCACAATGAAGTCATGAAGTCATGTGACATTGCAAAATCATGCATAGGATAGTCTTGAACAGCAAAGCTAGTACCTATTTTAAAATTAGTCTCCATAATTGTGCGTCGTTTCAAAGTTAGAACTTCGGCCAGGTTTTGCACAATTTGGCCGGGTTTGCTGTACATCCAGCAATAGCATGATCACTTACATTCACTGCCGCAGTTTCACTCAAAGACAGAAATGATGTGCTGTCATCGGGCGGATGCATGCTATAATGTTGTTCTCTTGCTTTATTCCAAACAACAACTAACTCGGAGCTCCGGAAAGCTCTGTAACATTTATGCCAACAGAATGTAATGGTGTGCGTGCATGGCTACAGTGTTGGTGTGTACCGACTGTCAGCACAGGCGTGGGAAGCGGCATATATAAATGGATAGGAGTACAAACAGTGCTGCGTGTATACAGTCATGTGTGTGGCAGTCCACACATGTGTGGTCAGTGGAGTGCCTGTAGCCTCACCAGCACTGCTACTATCCTTGACTGTGGCGACCACCATTCAATGTCTCGTCCTCCTCTAACCGTACCCCAACTCTCTCTCTCTCTCTCAGCTCTCTTTTTATCTGTCTTTTCTTACTCTTTTTTCTTTGTCAGCTTTCCTGGTGGTTATGTGCTTTTCAAGTAAATAAAAAATGTATATGTGAACACTACACATGTGTAGCACGGAAGATATGCAAAATTCTTGCATGAAATATGTGTGCCGAACAGCAAGGCATACTGATGCACGTGAGCCAGTAGAATCGATGCAGTACGGCCACTCTAACACTCACCTGACCACGTTGCAGTGCTGCCTGGATCTCGTCCAGCTGATCGACGGGGCACCAGCACTCGGCGATGAGACACTTGGAGGTCAGGTCTACATTGCACATGTTCATGGTGTGGTAGATACCCTTGCTCTTGTGTGCCTGTTCACGCACGCACCCACACACCCACACACACACACACACACACACACACACACACACACACACACACACACACACACACACACACACACACACACACACACACACACACATACACACACACACACACACATACACACACACATACACACATACACACATACATACATGCATGCATGCACACACACACACACATACACAGAGACATACACACAGGCATACACACAGGCATACACACACGCACGCACATACATACACACACGCACACACACACAGACATACACACATGCATGCACACACACGCACACAGACACAGACATACACACATACGCGCACACACACGCGCGCGCGCACACACACACACACACATGTCTCATTGCAAATATCATGAGTAAGACCAACACAGCTCGTGAAAACCGTTGCATCGCGGGCACTGCAACCAGTTGCCCCACTGGGTCGGGCACTCAACGTCCGCTGGATCATTGCCATGCTGTAAAGTTGCTCAATACATGGGGCACGCCCAAATTGCACAAATGTACTACACTGACACTATATGTGTACTACTATGTAATACATGCACACTATCAATAATTTGCTGTGTTGCTAAGCGTGTGAAGAGAGCTATCAGTGCAGAAACCTGAGAGCGAAATCAATCACCGAGTTGATAGTGCAATACTGCGGCAACATCGTGCCCTGCCCATGCATTCTCTCCTGCCCAAATCCAAAAATCGTCATGCCATCATCTAATTGCTGTAGCATAATGCTGTCGCAAGTGCCTGGCGTGAAGGTGTACCACAGCTGAACAGTTAGTATTCCATGCAGCTGACTACATTGTACGGGCCGCCTCACCACAACAATCCACTCCTCCAGGTGCTGCGCAATGCCCTGCAGCAGGAGCAAGCGGTGGTCCGTGGTCTGGGCCAGCACGGAGGTCAGGTCTTCGATACGCGCCCGGACGCTGGCCAGCATCTCGCGGCGCTCCGCCTGTTTGTCCGCAATGGGATACAGGGTGGCACGGAAACTAAACAGGCAACACAACAAGACCAGTTGTAAGTTCTCGTAAAACATCAACAGTTTGGCTACTGGGTGAACAGTGTAATGGCAGGTATAATAAACTAAATCCACATACAAGTCACGCAGACACATTGTGAAGAGGAGCTGAAAATGGTGGAGTTCACCTACGCTGTATTCGAAGTCTCATTAATGACCATTTGCGCCAATATCCACATAGAATGTATTGCTGATCATTCACTGTGCGCCTTTTATCAGTGAAATTTGGGTTGTCTTTTTTATTTGCTTTGGCTTTCAGTTCATGGCTTCATGCCGCTGGTTTTGTAAATAAACCCGTTCTGAAATAACAGTGTCCGTGTATCTTGTCCAGGTATCTTATAACCAGTTGCTCATGCATTTCAGAAGCAAGCGGCTGACACAAACTGTCCAAAGCCCTTACCCGTCGCAGATCTTGCGGACACGCGACGCCAGCTGTTGACCTTGCATAAAGATGATGAACACATTCTTGCGCAGTTCATCTCGCTGCACAGAGGATGCACGGAGAATGGGAGCAATTGCATGCATGCACTATGGTCAACAGAATGTCTACTAGACTACAACCCGACGGTACCAATAAAGCAATGGTTTGATTCACGGAGTCAGACGATGAGGAACAGAAATCCAGGAAAGAGACCTTCTCTGTGGCTGGTGAACCAGTACAACAAACATCCAACCTCATCTGTATTAGGCTACCTGGCAACAGAAACAGCAGTATCATGCACAGCAGGGTTCCAGCCAAGGGGGGGGGGGGGGGGTAGGGGGCGCAGCGCCCCCCCCCCCCCCTACTCATTTGTCGATTTTTGTGTTTTTCACTGTCATTCAATGAAAATGCAGTCGATAGTCACTACTAGAGGGTTCATAAAGACACATTTGTCTGGGGTGAAGTCGGGGGTTCGCCCTGTACGTTGCATTTTGCATGGCAAGACACTTTTGGAAAATGGAAAAATGGGACACGAGGGTAACTGTTTCCCATGCCCCCCCCCCTACTATTTTGACCTGGCTAGAACCCTGCACAGTATACATTTCCTTTTCTTGTTCTGGCAGGGAGAAGTAGAATATTTAGTTACTGGTAGATGCAAAGTCTCACTCCACATCATCATCATCATTGGAAGAAAGCCATGCAGTAGTTGGAGATATCCAACATCCTCAGTCTTCCGGCACTCACTGTGGTTGGGTCTTCCATGGGCTCCTCAATCTCGGCTTGTCGAATGAACACATTGCCTCGGCAAGCGCGCCAGAGCAGGCGCTCAAATGATGGTATCCTTTCCCGGTTGATAACGCCAGCAACAGACCTGCCAACAAGCGAAACAAAAATGTCACACGAAATCAGGTGGACCTGCCCCACGTGATAGTAGTGACTGATTTGATCAATCGAGATGCTTACAAAGTGCACTGCCCGCTCATGCACAGTCATATCATTATTCATGTGCGCAGATGTAAAAAATGTGTGTATCAAAGCAGTGGTGCACCTATAAAAATAGCTGTGTGGGTTTCAAGAATATTTACACACTGTATGTACAGTAGCGCTCACCGAAATCCGACCCAAAGTACATATTCGGCGCCCTCGACTAGCACGCCCTTGACGCCCTGGAAGTGGCACGAATGCGGCTGGACGTACACATGTACAAATACAATGATGTAATCGGAACTGGTCCAGGGCGCCAGCTTTGCACTTCGGGTCGGATTTCAGTGAGCGCAACTGTACATGTCCTTGTACTAACATCAACGAAGCTCCGGATGTAGATGTTGGTATTTGGGTGGAATCAATATCTTCCAGCTCTGCTAGGGGACACATAGCGGCACACGAGCAAAAATATAAACATATGTTAAATTATGTTAGTTGGCGCATACTGAGACGCCATTGCCAACATGATGAAGCCGCTGAGAATAGGGCTAACAAGCGGTGATATAGCACTCTAAGCAATGTGCTGGGAGTTGGCTCCAAACAACCAACGCATCCTGCTTACCTTATGCTTCGCAGTGCCCTTAAGTAAAGAAACCTTAACAAATGCTGTACTTCAAGTACCTTCGCACAGCAAAAGGGATACTTTTGATAGTCTTTAGCAGTTGCCGATGCTTTTTGGCGATACAGTTGGTAGCCCTATTGTGAGGAAATGGCCAGGTTTCAAATCAGATTCCACCACAGTCCACTGTATGGTTCTTGGGCCACATCCTGTTCTGTATACCGGACCGCCGGAAGCAGTTTTCAATTGATCCGGACCGTCCGGTCGTACCAAAGTCTTTCTTACTTTGTGTATAATATGGCGGGTACATGCCCTCCTCAGCAGTAAACATGTGTTGGTAGCCACAAAGTTGGTCCGGTGTTAACCGGACCGACAGGACCGGTTCCGGCGGCCTGGTATGTGTATATTGGCTGGGTCAATCAAAGACCAGAATAGGAACGATGCTACAAGTATACACAATGTGTTGTACCCACATGCATTTTAAAACTTTTACAGGCTCCACATCTGATCACCTTACCAAACTGGTCGATGTAGGCTTCTCCGGAAGTCATCACAAACTGCGCCTGTATGCCATCACAGAGAAGAACATATTTTGTACATGCTTCCTATCATACATCAGAGCCGAGAACTGCCGTCGGTCCTTCTCTCTCTCTCTCTCTCTCTCTCTCTCTCTCTCTCTATCTATCTCTCTCTCTCTCTCTCTCTCTCTCTCCCTCTCTCTCTCTCTCTCTCTCTCTCTCTCTCTCTCTCTCTCTCTCTCTCTCTCTCTCTCTCTCTCTCTCTCTCTCTCTCACACACACACACACACACACACACACACACACACACACACACACACACACAAGAGTGTGTGTACCATGGTGTCGGTGCTCAGACTTGTTTCTCAGATCAACTTCGGAGCATGCACGTGACTAGAAAACGTCATCCAACAATTCTACGTACATGTATAGTGGACACATTCAACCCTGTCACATGCATATTCCGGTGATGTAAGACACATCTCCATGAGCACAAGAACCTGGTATACTTTACAACCATCATCTTCCCCCATGGGCCGATTAGCAGCCGCTTCTCACCTCATTGTAGAACTGGCCTGTCTTCTCCAGGATGTGCTTCAGCTCCGTCAGCTCCAGGAAGTTGCAGTTCAGCCGCTCCTGGTTGGCTGTGACCTCCTTCAGCTCGTCTTCCGTCTCCTTCAGCTTCTCCTACACACATCGTTAGCAAAGCGGCAGGGATGTACGGGCCCAAGTTGATAGCAGGTATACTAGGCTACATATGTACTTATCATCCCACATACTAGCACAATTAAGCCATTGGCGTTGATCTGAGTACATCATGCATAGCAGCATGATATGCACTATTTCACCGTTCACTGCTCTTGTGTGAGTCTCTGCGCTTGTTCTAGCAATTCACTGTTGTTCATATGGCATCAATCTTCAACCGAGCTAGCTTCATGTTAATACTTCCACATGTACTCTCTGATGCCAAGGGCAGTTTTGAAGATACAGTATATAAATTCCAGCATAATCAACCAACGATAGTCAGGTAGGGTCTCCCCTCAGCGACCCGAAGTGTGCCCAATGCCCGTGTAAGGCAGAGCTTTCTACCTAGTAGAGAGAGAGAGAGGGGGGGGGGGGACTGTATTGCGACTCGGAGTTTCATGTTTTAAGTCACGATCATCAATTTGGCTGATGATCATGATTGCACATGAAACTGGGAGTCGCAATACAGCTGCTGTGCAATAAGAATTTGTCCACTTGGTCGGACGGATATCATAAAGGGCTAGTAAACACAGTAGACTCCTGACAGTTATAACGGACACCAATGTGCATGTGAACTTAGTTCTTTATTGCCGAAGTGCTCACAGTGTGTCCCTTGCCTGGCATGCGGTCTGTGACTTCACCATCGGAATGCATTCGTTTACATGCTCCCCACAGGGTACATGTTTGTTTTGTAAGAAACGTAAACGAAACGTAAACCGTTTGCTGCAGGGGTCAATTTTGTATGGGCTCAACAGGGACACGGTAAACGGTTCGCCACACCATGAACTTGAATCCATTACCTGCGAGTTTGTTGTAAGTGGAGTCGACTGTATATGCACACATAAACAAACGCTTCGTTGTTCACTAAACTTCCGATGCAATCGTTTTGCCCAGTAACTCTGAGCTATGTGGATGAGATTTAAGAAAGTCGCAACAGCTAGCTTGTCCAGAGATTGAGTAACCATACAGCTCTGCTGCATAGCCCTGAACTTGCAAATCCAGATGTAGTGAGATCTCATGCAGTAAGTGCTCACCTCTAAATCCAGCATGCGATCTGGCGGCGGAGCCTCCAGCAACCTTCCTTCTGGCAGCGGGGCAATCAGGACGTTTGCTACCTCAATCTCCTTCTTCAGATACCCTAGACATTTCACAGGGAGCGGCAGGGACAATAAGCGCCATTTTGCCAACGCGTGCAAGCCTAACTGGTAGGGACCATTCTGAGCATGGCATGGTTAAACAGGTCATGTGACTCGAGGGATATATCTGTTAAAACATCTGTGTCCGTCAAAGCGGAAAATACACAGTCGAGTGCATGTATTTAATTGCCAGACTCACTGTAGTAAACACTATGTTCAGTTTATGTACCTGCAACATGGCGTCAGCTCGAGATTTCATGCTGTCCCAAAGCATAGCTAACGGAGAGAATTTTGCACATGATTCATCATTCTAACTTAGCAGAAGCCACATTGCATTTGATGATCATGCAACATACCGACTGTGACCTGTGCTCGGTCACCTGCCAAGCAGTAACATTGAGGGTTCACATTAGGGAGTAGTAAAATTATAAAATATTAGTACTCCCTAGTTCACACACAGCTGCCCATACCATAGTCATAGACCAAGTAGACCTACTGTGAAGTGTGAGCTGGCGGCAGTCTACTAAGTATTCCAAGGCAGACCTCCTTCTGCGAGGACATCTACTATAAATGGCGTGTGAATTCGCCACCGGTACAACTGCGCCACGTGTAGTTTTGCCGGCGACTGATTAGCGGTGCCGGCGTGTAATTTGGCCCAATTTTGATCAAATTGGATCAGCACTTGATAGCAACCTACTTGGCAGGGTTAGCAGCAACAATGTTCACAATTGGGAACCCATACACTAAAAAGTGTCGTTGTAATAATGATTATGATGATACATTGTAGCACCATCATTTCCCGTCAACAGAGGCGATGCGATTACGGTACCATCATTTGGTATGCTGTGTATGGAGTGACAGAGCGGCAATGCATTGGCGACTTGAGCTAGTGCTGCTTTGCCACGCAGCTATACTAGCAATGCTTTGTCCTGATTGGCTACTTTATAGTGCAAAATTGCTATTTCAAACCCCACTGCAAACTAGCACTGCTTGCCAATCTTTGAATTTTACAAACCTATGTGCTTTGATAGTTACAAAACTAGCTATAGCTCTGGTTTCGACACCATGACGTACTAATGCCTATGCCTATGGTCAGTATAAGGCAAAGGCGATGGCCTCATTCGGCATAAGCTGAATGGAGCGTGTGGAACGTTTGGTCGCAGAGAATGTTTCTATGCAACGGCCCAAGTGCTGCGCATTTCGCCGCATACCGGCACCGGTATCACCGAAACAAAGCAAGTCTCTTCTGTTCACTCCGATCGAATGAACGCCAAGTCAGCCGATTTCTTGACTGACACACAAGGAGCGTGCCCACTACTATTACATGACTGGATTGTACTATTAGTGGCACTACTGTCACTCTGCGGGCATGTAACGGTTGCGGTTACGTTACTAGTACTGTAGTAGTAGTACTGGCACACTGGTACATGGTGCACACCGACGGTGACACTGCGGGCACGTACTTACTCAGGCGTCTCTCCATCTCGTCGCATCGTCGCACTTCGTTCACATATCGACGCTGGAACTGATTCACATCGGGATTGAGCTGAAGGAAAAAAGTGACAGGAAACAAAGAAGACCACGGAGAGCTTCTAAGCACCATGCTTGGACAGCGCATGGCAAAACTAATAACTATTACTTACTTCAAGAAGTCAGGGAGGACGTTACCAAAGCGAAACTGTTCCCTTGCGCGACAAGTACATGATTGTAATCTATACCCAAGTACCCTTCCGTAACCCCATGATGCCTCACACTCAAAGGTCACAGGTACTAGGTGGCCATATTGATTAGCCATCCAAGGTACACACACACACACACGTACACACAAGCGTATTTACGCGTTTAGCGAAAGACCAAGGTAAGATTCCTAGCCAAGACTTACATCTCTGAACTGGGCCAAGCCCTGGCCAACGTCACGTCACGGAGTTGTCAAAGGGGCGAGCGGAAGCAGGCACAACAGTTATCACGAGCACACGCGCACGCACACGCACAAGAAAACACAGAAGAGAAGCAATGGTGGATGAGAAGGGAGCAGAAGACGCCCGAGCCGTCGAACCAGCTTCTCGTCTGAGCGAAGACTGGGCGAGTGTATGTCATCGATGACCGCACTATATCTACACGGCACACAACTCTCCCAATATACTCGTACCAATTCTCCCATCTCGCTGATGGAACGGTAGGCGGCATCCGACTGCAGATACAGTTGGGCCAACGTCATCTCCTCCGAGCGGAAGAGAGACCCCATCTTGCTCGTTGGTGTCGCCTCCGATCAACAGGCAAGCGGTCAAGCTTTCGTTTGGAATGGGGATATCTGTGGCAACACTAGTTGGCAAAGACGAAGGACAGGGTAGCGACGCAGAAGGAGTAGATCTATGCTGCCTGCGCAAGCTATCCACAATACCACAGCACAGGCGAGCGAAGACTAGCAAGTAGATCTAGTCTACATTGTAATCTATAAAAGTATAAGAATAGCTATATAGACTGTTCACTGTAGTGTAGACCTACATGTGCGCGGATTCGACCTTCACAACCGATCGCTCTGATCTGAGTTATGCAGGGTGCAGCGAGCATGCGCCTTACTTGACTCAACGCTCCAATGGGCACATATGCACACGAGAGCAGCAGCCATGCCACTTGCACAACGAAGACCAAGACCAAGTCAAGCGTAGTCTACCCAGCAGCGGCCCAGCTGGCCAGGTCGAACCTCTACTGACTGTAGACTCGTAGTGTAGTAGTAGAGATGTCACTTCGCCAGGGAATCGTAGACAGTAGAGTCTAGGCCTTGACAAATTATGCTAGCATAATTTTTCGCATAATTCCTACCAAAATCGAATAATCGCATAATTCGAGGCAAATTGCATACGAATCGCATAAAATTGGAATAATCCGCCTGTTCGCATCAAATTCCATACAGTTGTACATGTTCTACAAGTACAAGTAGATGCACCAGAGAGGTGTAGGTTTACGACTCCCTTGATAACATGTCCAGTCCACTTGTAGGTCGGACGGTGCGTTGACCCCGTTGAACTTTTGCTACTACAGCACAACGCCCTCTACAAAACATTCACCTGTTATTTTGCACAGAACCATCATACATGTACATGTATACATTAGCAGCATATGTGAGCATAATGCGGCATAATATTATGATAACTTTTAGCATAAAAATAGCATAATTCTGCAATTTTTCCAGCAATGCGAAAAGCATAATTTCACGAAAATATTAGCATAATCTGTCAAGGCCTAGTAGAGTCTAGTGGTTTTGGTATAACAATAATATGATTGATATTAGTACTATTAGATATTTCATGCTGTCACTGAACCAACAACATTATAATTGTAGTTTAAACCATGACCGACCCGCATGGCGAGATCTATGCATGAAGATCTGTGCATCGTGATATTCCGACAGGTCCTGAAACAGTCAAACTCAGGAAATAGCACTATTATTATCACTCAGGCTGCAATATTCAATGACATAATTAAAGACATATTCATAAATGACATATCTTCAATACCCATGAGCTACATTGTATATGATAATTATATCATTGTATCATCGTTCTAGCTCAATTTCTTTCCCCTGTCATAGTCCTGTTTATCATGTTCAGCATAAGCGAAGTTGTGGATCATGCTTGCATGGTTGACTCCAACGCGTACATGCAAGTAATAATAATAATAATAATAATTAAACTTACAAATAAAGCCTTGATTGAAAGGTTACATGTTGGACCACTGACAACACAGTGCGTCCTCCACCTTGTAACAAAGTACTATTAGTTACATGCTGTCAGTGCAGTGTCAATGACAATGGTCCAACCTAGCCCTTGGCGGATTATGCCGGCATAATATTTGGCATAATCTTGGGATTTCGTCAAAACATTATGCTCCGGCATAATATACGGATTCCAACGTGTAAGGTCGGCATAATCTTTCGGTTTAGACAAAATTATGCTTAGGGGCATAAGGGACCATCGCAAAAGTTCGCAGAAGCCCCTGAAACGAAGAGCATACGTTTGGGGGGGGGGGAGGGAGTCGGTGTCGAAAATCGCAAACCGGGCTTCAATTCAAAAAAGTATTGACGACATGTAGGAGCTGATATAGATTAGCATGCTCAAAGGATACAACTGCATAGCTCTAGCTGTTCTCGTTCTTAGATCACCCACTGCAAGGTGATATCATCGTTGCATTTATAAAGTGCTGTATATTGTTACACACTGATACAACAATGCTTGTGTAGTGTATTATAATAATTATTATGTGTGAGCATCCAAGTGAAATAATGAAGCCCATATTGTGACTGTCGTTTCGTTTGAGGGGGGAGGGAGGGGGGTCAGGCCCGAAACTAACGGTCTTCGTTTCGGGGGCTTCTGCGAACTTTTGCGATGGTCCCTAATACAGCTTTGTCAAAAAGCCTGCAGATGTTTTTTTAATAGAGAGGTTAAGATGCACGTTATTTCCGACGTGACGCGCAATTTCACGTCAAATTTGGCGTAAAACTCCAAATTTCGACGTGAGCAGCAGGTCGCTCGCATTGATTTTTCGACGTTGATTTTTCGACGTGCGAGCAAATAACGCGAGCTGAACTTTCGCGTCACGTCGGAAATAACGTGCATCTTAACCTCTCAATTACCCCAGTTATTATTATTATTATTATTATTATTATTTAAATTTTGAATAGGGCAATCCCCACAGGCCTAAGGCCTTTTTACAGGGTACCCTATGTGGTCACGTATAGATTTGCGGAATAGTGAAAGCGAGGAGCAAGAGCGAATGTCAGCTGGAAGAGAATTCCAGCGGTCAGAAGCCAGAAAGCTCAAAGCGAATAAGCCATAACGAGTGCGTGCTTTAGGCAGAGCAAGTGAATCTATGGACTGGGAACGTGTATGGGCAGCTGTGCGTGTTGTGGCAGAACGAAGGCAGAAGCAATCAGAGAGCAGAGTGCTACACATGCCACGTATGGCCCGAAAGACAAGAATATACAGTTTAAGCTGATAGCGCAGTGCAATAGGAGCAAGGCCATATCTGGTGTGTAAGACTGAAACATCATAGTGCCAAGGGAAACCAAAAACAATCCTAACAGCGCGGTTAGCAATACGAGCTAGTCTATCATGTTGTGTGGTGTGAAGGCAGTGTACAAACGCATTAGAACCATACTCAAGGTGTGCTTGAATAAATGAGCAGTAGAAGGTCTTTCTCGCAGCCGGTGTCAGATTGTCCCTGATCTTCCGGAACATGGCAAGTTTTGTTCCGACCTTTTTCTCAACTTCAGTGACATATGAGGAGAATGATAGATGTTCGTCAATGGTGAGGCCAAGATACTTCACCGTTGGTGTTGGGGATATGAGGACATCGCCGAGCCGAAGGCAGATGTTAGGAGGAACACATTTTGTTTTTTGTCTTATGATGATAAATTGAGTCTTGGAGTTATTAAGATTGAGACCTCGGTCACGTAGGTACTCTCTGATGACAGATATGTCAGCAGAGAGATCATCAGTGAGTTTCTGCAAGTTCGTGCCTGCCTTATACATAGACACGTCGGCTGCAAATTGCCGAACCTTGCTCGTGATGGTACATGATGGCAGAGCTCGGACAGATAGGTTAAAGAGGGCAGGACCCAATGTTGACCCTTGAGGTACACCTCTTGTAGGTGTGTACTGTTCACCTTCCTGATACTTTGTGACTACTCGTTGGCGACGGTCACATAGGAAACTAGCTATCCATTGCAGTGCAGTACCACCGACACCAATAGAGAAGAGTTCTTGTAGAAGGGAGGCGTGATTGACTGTGTCAAATGCTTTGCTGAGATCGAGAAAAGCAGCGACAACAAATTGGCCCTTGTCTAGACATGCTTGCCAGTCGTTTGTTGTCGTGGCTAAAAGATCTTCGCAGGAATGCTGCTTGCGGTAGGCGAACTGTTCATTCGGCAACGCGTTCGGAAATGATTCACCTTGTATGTGCGACATGATCTGCTCATACGCGCACCTCTCCAGCAGCTTGGAAGCGATCGGGAGGAGGGAAATAGGTCGATAATTACTGGGATCAGATGAACTCCCGCGCTTGTGAATTGGACGAACGTTGGCAATCTTGTATAAAGAGGGAAAAATACCTGATCTGAAAGAGATGGTGAAGAGCTGGGCAAGAGAGGGAGCGATTTGTTTCTGGAGGAGTTTGTAGATGGACGGAGGTATTTTATCTGGACCACTTGCTTTGTGGCTGTCAAGGCGTTTCAAATGGGACACTATGGTTGCTGCTGACACCGGTTTAAACTCAGTGAGGGACGGCTCTGGCATTGGTCCGATCGGTAGTTCGATACCTGTGCCTGATCGTGAGGGTGCACTCGAAGCGCGCTGTGGAGCGGTCGGTGATACGTTGAGGTGTCCAAAGGTCACGGTGCTAGCTGCACCTGCAGGTGTTGCTGGGGCAGGTGCAGGGGCTCGAGGTGAGACTATCCTGGCGAACGTTGCTGAAATGTCTTTGACTGAGGCATGGGGCTCATGGTACACAGTTGTTCTCCCAAGCAAGGAGTTGATTGTTTTCCACTGTAGCCTTGGGTTGCGATTGTTTCGAGTCAGTTCATTTTGGAAATACGCAGCTTTCTTTCTTCGCATGAGGAGTTTACTTTCGCGCCTTAGAGCACGGAAAGCCTGAGTTAGACGTTGATCATCCGGTCTCTGTATCATTTTCCTATGTGCTCTTTTCCGGCGATAGAGTAATTGCCTTAGTTCACCGTCCACCCAAGGAGAAGGTTTGTATCGTGGTGACGTGGTGATGGTCGTGGTCGGACAATGCTTGTCAAGGGTGTCAGCTATTGAGGTTTGGAATAGGGCAATGTGCTCGTTTAGAGTGATCTCAGATGGCGAAGTGTTGTTATTATGGAGAGCAGTCAAACTGGAGCTAATGTCGTCTTGGAATTGTTGAATGTTTATCGCCCGAACTGGAGGCTTACGAATAGTAATGCGTTCTTCTTTGAATGTTCGTAGCATGGTAGATAGCTCGAGAATGACAAGTTGGTGGTCAGATACGTCGCATGGTTGAACGGAGCATGTGATGGAATTGACATTGTTTCCACGCGGCTGTGAGTTTGGCAACTGAGCAAGCAGGTTAGGTACTACAGTCCGTTTCAAAAAGATTTACAACCCTGGCGATCGCCCGCGGAGTTTGGCGTCTTACCAAGAGTCCATGGGTTATGGACTCTTGGTCTTACCGTATGAGCACTCGAGCGCTGCCTGGAAAAACTCACTGTGAACTCGAAGAAATATTCCGCGCGAAAGCAGGAAAAATGACAACTCACTCACGTTGACACAGTCATGGACGTACGTCTGGTTTGCAACAAACGAGTTCTTCCTCGTATCGATAATGGAGTCAGAGAGGACATGTCGAAACGAAAGTGTTGACGAGCGGCATGGGTCCCAATTCGTTTTGTGACCAAAATAGTTTCTTTGAGC